ATCTTGTTTTAAAAAGATATTTAGAGATCAGCAAATGGTGTATATCGTCTTATCAAAACATTGACCCTCTCTTTGTATCAATTAGAAATTTGGCTTTGGAAAGAGATTTTTTATAACCAAACTCAGATATATTCTAGAGTTATGCGGTTATGATCCTAAATAATTGTCAGTGCGTTCATTTAGAATAGGTGTTGGTCAAGCTAAAGTAGAGTATCACACGATAAAATCGTTAGGCCGTTGGTCTTCAGATTACTATGTGCGTCATCTTCGCACTCAACCAACCACTATAAATCGTACACAACAGCTGCTAGCTGAATCTGCTTATTATTGATTATATATCAAAGACAGTTATGAGCTTAAGGACATTAGTACTGCATATTTGCTTTATGTATATATTGTGTTCTTTAATTTGCCTTATTATTGTGTTTCTTGGAAACTTTTGAAATATTTCACTTATCATTCAAACGTTTCATTCATTTTCCAATCATTTCTCATTTAAAATCTCCAACCTCAACTCAATACCTGAAAACTTTGTAGCCCACCGTCACGCGGTGGCTGGTCCACTGCCACACATGGGCCGTCAGATGCAGCTTTGAGTTGTTATTCCTTTTTCAATTGTGTTGTTTAAGTTCAGCATGGGGGCTTGCCAGCTAGTGAAATTTCTACAAAAGAACCGTTTGCTGACAAATTCAAGTTTTTCAATAAAATAGAGGAAAACATACCAAAAGGGACATTCAAATTCATAAGTCGAAAATAAACTGACAACGTCATGGCTAAAAAAGAAAATGACTAACAGTCAAACATAAACAAATCAATAATCTTGTATAAATAAAGATGTGTAGATGTGTAAAAAAAACTATAATAGATCAATACATAAGATGAAGGATAAATTAAAAAATAAACAGACAAATAAATTTATCAAATAATGAATAAAAATATTCCAATGAAACTAAGAATTGGTAAAACTATTAGGCAATATATCAGACATATACAACCGAAAAGACCTGAATTCAGGTACGAAAACGCAGACACATATAGAAATAAGAAGATGTGGTATAATTACCAATGAGACAACTCTCCGCCAGAGACCGACAACTATAGGTCACCGTACGGCATGTTCACATGTAAATATCTAAATCATGTTCTATCTTTTATGTCCTAGCACAATTATGTAGTTATCCTGTTGGTAGCGTATGAAATCCAAACGGGTAGGTCTGGGCGCATGTAAAACTGGTGTAACCCAATCACTATATGTACCAGGACCAAGTTAGGCTATCTTGACCATTTGGTTTCACTACTACTTGTTTTGTGTTTGTTTCTACGGTTATTTTCTCGAAAGAGTGATAAATTTTTAAGTATTTTCTGTTATCCTTTTTACGTATTATCTAGTATTTTATGGTCTACAAACTCGAGATAGCTACCATTTTTGTGAAAATTTCAAACATAAGCATATTTACCCTGTCACTTTATAGCACATCTTGTCTTCCAGTTATAAATAAGGAGATCTGGTAAATTTCCATCGAGACAACTATTCAGCAGAGACCACAAAACAAGCATGTAAAACATTATAGGACACTATACGGCCTTCAACAATGAGCAATCCCATATCGTTAGATATGCGGAAGATATTAAAGGGATATTCAAACTTATAAGCTGAAAACGAACTGACAATGGCTTTGAAAAAAATGAAAAATAACCCATACAACAGTCTACAAAACACAACATCGAAAATTAAGGACTGTTCAAATTTGGGCATAAGTCTAATTCGGTGGGTTACATTCGAGAAAAAGAGGGCGGGATTGTGGTTAGGAAATTTGAAACATATCCGACGTCATTTGTGAAACAGATATTTCATAACGGCCAACCAACTCGTGATGGCGTCAATCAAATTTTCGTATGACTTTAACTTTTCCACTTGACACTCTTTGTTTAATAGCTTCCTTGTTAGCAGCAACCCACTATCAAGACAATAATGATAGGAAATGCAATCTCTAGCAAATCGCATTAACTGAGAGATATATATTCCATATGCATGCGCTGCTGGGATTTTGCTACATAGAAATTGAAATTTCACAATTGAGAAGTGGAAATCATATCTTTTGCCGTAAATTTGTTTTCTTTACCGACCCTCATTGTCAATTTCTAGATTAAATTAGACTTAATTGTATTTGTTGTATTGTTTTTTTCGATTTCCGATGTTAAAAGTTCAGACCTCCCTTAACTCGAGATAGTGGCGTAACAACACAACATAAGAACAACCTATAACAATCAGTTCAAAAAGGCTTAACTCCTCAAGTCGGCAGTAAGTATATAAAAAACAAAACACAAGGTACCGATTAAACAGTACTCGCAGCAACTGAGAGTCAGTTCAAAGCTAATTCCAACTTACAAATACACCATGTTTTCCCATACTTAAATATCAGTTAGTTATCATCTAATGGATTTAGTGTAAAGAGGTCACAAACAGTTTAAAAAAAAGAACATCGCCTTGTGCAGTTCCAAAATATAAGTAACTGCAGGATGGAGGACCAAAAATTTCTTCTTGTTAAATTTTGGACATTCAATCGCATGACAAGAATTGACCGCATAGCTTTTGGCCTGTAAAAGCTTTGTGCGGATATTTATAAACATAACTCATGTGTTGAGATATGGTGTTTTCTGATTAATAAAAGTGTGGCCATAGTTTAAGCATGTACCAAATAATACTATGTTGAATATTGATCATCTTGATGCATTTCGCAAGTAGCTTAACGAGAAGTGAAAAGGAACTATCTAACTTTGATTTTTAAACAGCGATCTAGTTTATTAAGCTTATTAGATAATACAATGACTTAGCACCAAACCAACAATAAAAGAATAATGCAACATTATTAATTCAGAGGTCAGATAATAACAACGAAATACATATTGATTATTTATTTATTATAAGTTCTATAATGTATGGTTTCCATCAGGTCTTTAAAAATCTGAAACATAAGAAATGTTTTTATTCTATTAAAAATAAATTGAATAACTATATATTATATGTACAATGCTTTTGTTGTTCCTGAACCGTCTATGCTTACCGAAAAAGCCTTCCAATGTCGGTATGGACCTGTTTTCGTACTCAATAAAACACTAAAACATGTAATGACTTTTTTTTTTTGGTAACTGCAAACGTTCAATTTTTGTTGTACCTGTTGGTGGTTTCAACTGTTTTAAGATGTTCGTTTTTTTAGCTGGACTTTGATATAATACTCCATAGCTATCAGACAAATGTTTGTTTTCCCGAAAACCAAAATATCTATATACAGCAATAAGATAAAAAGTCTTGAGGTTTTGTGTTATGAATTAACAGAATTATAGAGAATCGACATCTTCTTCTGGTTCCTTGTATGACTGTCGGACATATGTTGTGTTTAGAATGAAGTTTTTGGAAAAGCAGTTATGAATGTATTTTGATAAACAAAGCTGTAAACAGTTTATGGATTCCAGTTCTTTTTATGCGAATTTCCAATTGTGATGTACGTAGTGTTATGAATTTATTGCATTTTGTTTGTATTTGTTTTATTCCGTGATCTATATGCTATCATATAAGCTAAACTGACACCAAACCAGAATTGTAATATTGAATCATAATAATGATATTGGTTAAACCGTACACAACTGAACGCATGACGTACATTTTTGCATGCCTCATTTCGATTTTATTGTTTGATTATTTTTTTTAATACTAACAACATTGTTCTTGAAATGGCAAATTTGTCATTGCTTCATTTCAACAAGACCAAAGGATAAATTATCAAATGAAAATTGGAAAAAGTCAAATAACAAAAATAATGCATTGAAATTGATTCAGTTTAGGTAGCCAGCACTGCGACGAGATAACATTTGTTACTTTTTTTCCCATACGTACTGGTAACTATCTAGTCCTTTGCTATGGATGTTTGGCATTATCTATCCCGTTTCGAAAGTAAGGTATCTTCCCTTCGCATCGAAAGCCTTTGGTCTAGCACGAACTTGAGGAAATGTATTCACGAATTTCATACCATTCTAACCGAAATATTATTCCCAGCAGATGCATTGATGTTTTTATATCATGATGTGTGATTCGGGCACAAAGGGTTTTTACAGTGTTGTTTCTTTTTAGTTTACCCTTGTATTTCTATTAACTTAATTTTGACTTTATCGAGAAAGTGTGTAATATATACGGTATGTACTATCAACGACAAAAACTTTTTTTGTTGGTGACATCATTGTCTAATTAATGTCACTGACGAGTCTTTTGTAGACGAAACGCGCATCTGGCGTACACAATTTCAGTCTTTGCCTCTTTGATGAGGTATTACTATTTACTACGCCTTTTTTGTTGGCATCTTTGTAAGATTAATCTGCATATTTGTTTGAATTTTTTAGTTAGTTGTGTTCTATATCTGTGAGGTATGTTTACACAGTTGAGACTGTGGATCCCAATTATTGTAACATTAATCTATTATGTCTGTTTCGTTGCTTACTTAATGTTGTCAATATAACGGAACTAAAAACAACCGTCATACCAGTGGGAAGTTTAGCTAGCTATAAATACAGGTTTAACCCACCATTTTCTTCGGAAAACGCCTGTACCAAATCAGGAATATGACAGTTGTGTTACAATTGTTCCGTAAATTGATAGCGTATGATTTTGTCAGATTTTATAGACTTCCCCTATTTGAATTTGACTTGGAGTTCAGTATTTTTGTTTTTTTCCCGAATGTTAACGTGATAGTTCACCGGGTAAAAATCCACAGGTGTTCATGTCACCCATCGAGACATGTTTGTCTGCCTCAGACCTGACGAATGTTTGCTCGTATCTTACAATTCGCAAGCTTGGTGGAAAAGTTCTAATTTGTTAGTCTAGCTTTTTTTATATTTAGACATGCATTGGACTCTTGATGTCCCTCACATCAGCACCATGCTACCGATAATACAATTATGTAGTAATTTTATTTCAGATATGAGAGAAAAAACAAGTAACAGCGATATAGATGTTGATAATATATTTATTGTTTATCTTTTATGTAAAGTTTCCAACAAACCTTCACAATTCTGAAATAGAAGAATTAGGTTTATGTTATAACAAATTAACTGAGTAATTGTATATAATGCATTTATTGGTCAAAGATCGTCAATGGTAATTTTAAGAGGTTTTTTAAGTTTATAAGCACATAGAAAAGCCTTCGAATTTGGGTTTCGATCGGTTTTCGTATTTGAATTTATACACTAAAAGATAGTACAGGCCTGCAAAAGATTTTTTTTAAAAGATATATCTCTACATTGTTACAAAGTAAATTTCATTAAAAAATTAAAACAACACGTTATAAATTTCATGCTTTAACATAACGATAAAAAGATCTAATTAAAGCAAACATCTGTAATAGAATGCAACATTAAATAGAATTTGATTGAAGTTGTTTAATTTCTAGTAAGTAACCTCGATAACCATTCATCGACAGATAAACACTTTACAAGAAGCGACCTCTGAGGATTCATTATAATACTGGAACTTAGTTTCTAAGATTTAATTGGTAATTGTGAACCTAAATTTTAAGTGTCTAACGAATCACAAATTACAAATAAGCTTGTTTACAGACTTTTGTAAAGCCATGTACCAACGAATTCACGACATTTTTTTCCTCCATCCACGAAAATTGACCCCACGAAAATAATGGAATCAATAGGTTCATATAAAGGAAATTTTTGGCTTATGAATTCATGAGATTTGAACATCGGCAAACTACCGTTACCTTTAACTTAGATAAACATTAAAATCATATAGTACACTTACTCGTTCATTTCTATTTGTAATATCCGTAAGAACCATGGCTGACTGTCTTTATCACCGTTCCGGCGGGTGCATACACACCTCCCTTTGCATAGCCATAGTGATGGGCCGCTGCGATTGCGTGTTCATGTTTAGTATTTATTATTTCTTTATTAATCACATGGGTTTTGTGTTGGTGTTCACGTTCCATTAGGTGACGCTTGTGCTGTTCTTCTAGAGATTCCAGGTGTGATTTAGAATGTTTTTGTAGACGGTACAGATGGTTATTTGCAATTTTTAAGAACCTTTTAATGTGACTATTGGCCTCAGATGATAGTCTGTTAACATGTTTGTTGGCTACGTCGTGTATATTTCTGGCATGGGTCTTGGCTACAAGGTTTATCCTTCCAATGTGAGAATTGGCGACATTATGGATCCTTTGCACATGGTGAGCTGCAATCTTTTGATGAAGGTATAGATTCTTTCTCAGATAACTATAATCGTAATTTGGACCTTTAAATAATAAATATAATGCAAATTAAGCAGCTAAAATAAAGGAATACGTTTCAGTCGCATGTTTCTAATTTTGATCAAGCATTTGAAAGCGATACAATAATATATCTGAGACGAAGTTATAAATTCGTGAGGAATATAAAAGGAATTGTCAGTTGAAATTGATAAATTTTCGAACAATATAGAATTAATAACCATTTGAGGTACTTTTTAAAATTAAATGATACATTAATTCAATAAATTTGTGCTTAAACTAGGTTGGAACAAGATATGTTTGATTGTTTCTTTTTTCTTTAGGTTTCTTTTGAGTTTTTTTTTCGTATTTATTGTGAAGATGTGGTGGTGGTGTAGGGGGCTGTTTTTTTATTTATTTAATGTCCAATGGCTTTTGTTACTAGGAAATGTTTAATAATTTAGGATTTGCCCTGGAATGAAATTATACGAGGAACCCATTTTGACCAAACTTTAATCATTTTATTAACTGCTGGAATGGCCAATTACAGAAAACAAGCCCGACGATAAATTTATAGACAAACAATCCGAAAATTAATGAAAATAAAAATATAAAACTAACAATTTTTGCTAGAGTACTACTGCAGATTACATGTTAATAGGGTAAAAATAAAAAAAGTAAATAAAAATTTACAAAAATATTTTTATACTACCTGACTTTATAAAAAGATGTTCATTGTAAAGTCTCCCAAAACATTGATCAACATTATGGTACGAGCGGTAACAATAATTCCATGCTTTATAAAAGCGGGCTTTGCTGCAACTCAGTTTGAAACCTGGTAAAAACATAAATAATGGAGAATTCTTTGTTAGTTCTTGTTGAAATTTCCTCTTATTATTCCTGGTGATATGAAATTTAGTCAAACTAAAACAAGCACAACTTATAGTTTTAGTTATACTTGTGGTATTAGTTTAATGCTGTCATCCTTGAATTTATTGTTTTGCTTCGATCTCGATTGATAATATAACAATTAAAGTTTACATATGAACTCGAGGTCAACGTAAGGTTATATCAACGAACAGACATATATAGACATCGGCCATTACCTTTAGTTGATAAACATGTATGTCAGTTAGGTAGATTGAATCTCATACAAAAGCCATAATTGTATAATACATGCATAAATATAATGGTTAAAAACTTTGAAAAGTATATTTTTTTTTTGAAGTCGTCTATGTTTTTTCTGCGCTTAAATTTAAAACAAAATGCAGCAAATATGTAGGTTACAGACTTTTTAATTTATCCTTTCTGGCAATACACAACCATGGAATGCTTTAAAGTATCGTAATATCTAACAACACCTTTCTTTATTGGAATACCTACTCATTGACAGAAAGAGTTTTAAATACCTTGTAGAGAAAAAATTACCTGCTCCTTTATAGAGGAAGTTTCCACCAACAATACTAAATCCATGGTGTGCTTTATAATATCCATAGTCTCCATTGTAACTAGCACCAATATGAGCATGACCGTAATCACCATAGTAATCTTAAATTCAAAGTGTATTATACATGAGTAGTGAATTTAACAAAATGTAAACACATTCCCTTTATCTATTTACAGAAACTCTTATTTCATAGTTACTAGACATAGTATCGACAATAGAGATTTTGCAAGTATGTTCATGAACAATTGTAATTATGAAAAAACATGGTCAGATTCTATATGATTAACTTCTTTACCCATATGATATCTCATCTGAACTTTATCATGGTAAATCATATTCAAATAACATGTAATAAGATAATTGTTATAAATTAATTGTAATATCTAAATAAATAAACATGTTACCAAAGATGTGTCGTTTGAAGAGATTGTCAAAGCACACACTTCTGTCGTGGTAATGGTTGTAGCAATTGTCCCATACTCTATAAAAGCGTCTTCTATTACATTTTAATCTGTAAGCTGAAAAGTCAAAAGAACCCAACAGTAAGCTATCCATTGGCAAGGTATGTGTTTCAAACTGAAGAATATTTGTCAACATATTATTTTTGTCGTTTGAATTTTAGAATAAACACGCACAGATGAACCAATTGAGAATATAATCAAGTTTTCTAATGTAAATTTAAATTCCTTTGCCTAGCTATCAAAAGAAACATCAATATTAAGTCAAATTTATACTCGTATATACAGTTAAATTTCAAAAACTTTGAATTCATATTTTGTAAATTATTTGTAATTAAGGAATGTATGTCCCCCATGCATATATCTCTTATTCCTTGTCCAGGTTCGGTTTTTGTTTGCTCCTTTTTTGGATTTAGTAGCTCTCAAAGATTGTATTCAGTTCGGATTTAAAAAATAATGAAAATACTGAAATATATTTGTCGAAATGCACGTCTGGTGCATTAAAATCATTACCGCTGAAATGTTTATTCAAAAAATAGAAAAGAAAAAAATGCTGATTGAATAATAAGAACGAAATGTGACACTGCCACTTTGAAACCATACTTAATTTACCTTTCCCAAGATATGAAAATCTTCTGTGACGTATCTTAAATCCGAGGTATTTGTATCCATGATAATGAGAACGGTGTCCATAGCCTTCATTATAAAAAATCAATATAAAAACATTTAATACGTATATGTACATTCTTAATGTAGGACTTCTTTTTATAGAAAATAATTAGTACCGGGAAAAAAGAAGAGGAATAGAAAAGAACATTTTTTTTTCTCAATATTTTAAAGCTCTCACGATAGGTGAAATATGACTTGCTATAGCATATTTTGTTAACAGTTCAACATAAATTATCTTCTTAACACAATAACTGAACACTATCATCCAAAATTATAAAAAAAAGATATGATTAGGCACCTTAATTTATTTATCCACAAGATCACTCGTCTTAGTTTTAACATCACAAATCGTATTTAAATATCATGTAATGTGTTGTTTCTTTTAAATTAAATGTAATGTCTGAATATATGAATACTTACCGAAGATGTGTTGTTTGAAGAGATTGTCAAAACACACACTTCTGCTGTGGTAAGTGTTGTAGCAATCGTCCCATAGTCTATAAAAGCGCCTTCTACCACATTTTAATCTGTAAGCTGAAATTGAAAGACTCGTACATAAAGCAAGCATTTAGTAAGTGTTAATTTTCAAACTTGGGGTATTTTTCACCAACTTATTTTTGTCGTTTGATCTATAGAATGAACACTCGCATTTGAACATTTCTTCAGGTTTTTAAATGTTCATTTTAATTCATTTGCGTAGTCGTTTACAATTACATTCAGGTAAATGTGAAAGAACACTTGTTTATACATTTACATATAATAAAAACTGGAATTCTGATTTAGTAATTCAGAGAAAAGATATTTACTTAATTACAAAAAAAAATTATTTGACATTGTTGTTTTGAAACCATACTTAATTTACCTTTCCCAAGATATGAAAATCTTCTGTGACGTATCTTGAATCCAAGGAATTTGTATCCATGATAATTAGAATGGTAACCATGGCCACCATCTTGAAAGATAGAAATAAAACACATGATACGTCTGTATACATACTTTTATGAAATACTTATTCATAGAAAATTGTATTCAGGAATTAAAACCGTTTTATAGTTGTCAGTTTTAAGCAAAAGGGAATAAAAAAGTACGTTTTGTTCAATACGTAAACAAATTGCAAATATTAAGGCAGTTCAAATATTTAAATTGATAAATGATTTCGAATAATTTGAAAATGAAGATATTGCACAATGAACTCCGATGAAATATCACTTGCAAAAATAAAGATGTTTTACAGTTAAAACCATCATCATAAATTACCTAGGGCCACAAAAAGATGGTCGTTCAACAATTGCCCGTAACATACATCTACACTATGATAAGTGCCGTAACAAGATCTCCAAGCTCTGTAAAAACGTGTTCTGCTACAACTGAGCTTGTAAGCTGAAAATTTGTAAAAGAGAGAATTTGATTACATGTAATAATCACCAAGTAAATGAACTTAAATATCAAGCAAAGTAATAATGGAAAACTATTAAATCAAACATAGAAAAAAAAAATAATAAAATATTAAAGTTTGTCTATGAAAAAAAAAATGATTATCAAAGGTATATTAGGTTTTCTTGTATGACTTTACATGCAACTAAGATATCTTCTGCATACAACAGTTATGATTTATATCCCGATTAATTCAGAATTTGTGGTTTGGTAAAGTAAGTAAACTCTGATATGGCAAGGAAACTCACCTGCTCCGTTGTAGGAGAATCCTCCGTTTACAATACTGAATCCATGATGAGCCTTATAGTATCCAAAGTCGTCAGTGTAATCACCCCCGTGCACAATGGAAGATGTATCATGGTAGTAATCTTTATAATATTTTTAAAAGAAACAACACATTTTGAAATGAAAGCATATACGGTATTATATTTTAATGATTGTAAAACGACAATTAAAAATTGAAAACAAAAATCGTCTAAACACCTGCGTTATATAATTTTAAACAAGTATGATAATTTTATTCGAAAAAAATTAATTCGAAATGATACGACAAACAAGAATAATAACGATGTGGAGTCTGGTTTAATCATTGAATAAGTGTATTTTTCTTTTTAAAATTTCAATGAAATAAAATGTGTTATTGCACATATATGTATTTACCAAAGAAGTGTTGTTTATAGATTTTGTTGAAGCACAAATTTCTGCTGTGGTAATGGACGTAGCAGTCGTCCCATAGTTTATAAAAACGTCTTGTACTACATTTCAGTCTGTAGGCTGAAAAAAAATGTCATTTTGAATATCAATTTCACAAGTTGCATCTACACCTTTCTGCTATAGACTGAAAGGTCAGATATTTGATTCGATATGAAAACCTGTGATTTGTCTAAAATTTAACATTTACCGTAAAATAATCTGATCTTTCTTGATTTATGCAGCCTAATAACCAGAAATATTGAACAAATAGTTAAAATAGTACAAATAAAAAGCAAAAGAGACAATTGTAACACATTACAATTGCAGCAGTTAAAGGTTGAAAGCAAAACGTTAGCAGTACAACTTGCTTCAGACAGATTTAAAATGCATCAATGGTCGTTAACTTTTATATGATAATTGAATCTTACCGAATTTGACCAAACTATTGGATTTAACTACTAATCAGAACGAAGAGCATCTAATGCAAATAAAGGCAACAGTAGTATACCGCTATTCGAAATTCATATATCGATTGAGAAAAAAACAAATCCGGGTTACAAACTAAAACTGAGGGAAACACATCAAATATAAGAGGAGAGCAACGACACAACAGAAACACAACACTAAAATGCAACACACACAGAAACGAACTATAATATATTAATGGCCATTTTCCTGACTTGGCACAGGACATTTTAAGAAAAAGGGTGCTAATATTCAGAGCAAATGCTATCAATTAGGAAATACCTGTATTGTATTTTAAGCTTGGCCTTCGTAAAACGTAGATTTTTCCTGTCTCAAATTGAGTTTACCTAGCCTAGCTTAAAATACAATACAGTTATCTCCATTCCAATTCCACATATTAAAATAAATTCCATTTTAGTAAATATTTTGGCTTAAAAATGCCATTAATGGAAAAGTCCGCGAAACTGTTACATCGTCTTTGGCATCTATACAATTTGACGTCATAGGTATACTCCTGATTTCAAACATAATCACGAGAAGTATTTACTAGTATACTTTTCGTGCTCTTCTGAATGGTTTGAATATTGACAAAAAGAAGATTATGAGGCAAAAAATGTGACTTTTTTGTACATTTTTTTGAGAAATTAGATACCAAAAAATTTTCGAAATCAAAAGCTAATTTCTTGGTTACGGACTGGTATAACATGGAATCTAACCCTTCAAATATATGTCAACGTCCAATGAAATCATCATTATAATCGAATTGCATTAAAATTACAATTAATGCTTAATAATAACATTGGACTATACAAAATAAAATATAAACCTCATGAAATGCCCTTATTGATCCTTTTAGTTACAGAGGAGCAAGTCAATGCATTTCCTATTAATGATACACATAATTAAAATAAAAATGCAAATAAATGTAAGGTTATAGTTTTATAATTTTTACCTTTTCCATGATAGCTAAATCGTCTATGATTTAACCTGAATCCAAGATATTTGTATCCATGGTAACTAGTGTGTACAGGGTATGTATCTCCATGGTCTAAAAAGATAATGAATTATAATTGCAAAACTAGTTTAGATTTCATATCAATACGAATTTAATTTTTAACCAAATTATATATTTGTATCCATGGTAACTAGTGTGTACAGGGTATGTTTCTCCATGGTCTAAAAAGATAATGAATTATAATTGCAAATCTAGTTTAGATTTCATATCAATACGAATTTAATCTTTAACCAAATTATAATTTGAAAAATACAAATATTCTTCTAAGTCTAAATTTTGAAAGTAAGATGGTATCCTTGACCACTTTCTATAAAAATAGAAATGAAACTTATGTTACGTCTGTAAACATACTTTAATGTCAGGCATATTTTTGTTTTAAATGTTGTATTCACGAATAAAAAACGGTTTTCATATTATATAGTTTAAGGAAAAAAGGAATGGAAAAGCACGTTTTTTATACCGTGACAAAGTGAAAATTTTTAGACATTTTTAAAAAATAGTAGCGTAAAAAATTATAGTTTATAAACGTAAATATTGCAAAATTACAATGTAATTAGATGTAATATCGCTTGCAAAAGTATAGATCTTTTACAGTTAAAACCATCATCATAAATTACCTAGGGCCACAAAAAGATGGTCGTTCAACAATCGATCGTAACATACATCTACACTATGATAAGTGCCGTAACAAGATCTCCAAGCTTTGTAAAAACGTGTTCTGCTACAACTGAGCTTGTAAGCTGAAACATTGTGATATAGCATTTGATTAAATGTGTTAATTACCAATATATATGTATTGTATATCCAGATATTTACTAATAACCAAACAATTACATCAATTTAAAAACATACAAACTAATAAAATATTGTTGTTCAGTGGTTGTCGTTTGTTGGTGTGGTTCATTGGTGTTTCTTGATTCTCGTTTTTTATATAGATTAGACCGTTGTTTTTCCTGTTTGAATTGTTTTACACTAGTCATTTTGTGGCCCTTTATAATAGCTTGCAGTTCGGTGTGAGCCACGGCTCCGTGTTGAAGGCCTTTCCTTGAAATATCATTGTTAACTTTTTTGTACATTGCGACTTGAATGAAGAATTGTCTCATTCGCGCTCATATCACATCTTCTTATTTATAATAAAATATTTACTTATTTAAAGATATGAATTTGTCTATGAAAAAGGATTGATTTCTCAAAGGTGTATTTGGTTCTTCTTGTATGGCTTTGATGCACGAAACTAATATATAATTTGTATACAACAATTATGCGTTATGTCTCAATTAATTACGAATTTGTATTGGTGATTTGGTAAAGTATTAAAATCTAATATAACAAAGGAACTCACCTACTCCGTTGTAGGAAAATCCCCCGTTTACAATACTGAATCCGTGATGAGCCTTGTAGTATCCAAAGTCGTTAATGTAATCACCCCCGTGCACAATAGAAGATGAATCATGGTAGTAGTCTTTAAAGTATTTCGAAAGAAAGCATATTTTAAAATGAAAGCATACATAGTTTTACACTATATCCTTGAAATGATATTACAAGGATTAATTAAAGATAATGAAAGCAAAAATCGTCTAAAAACCTGCGTTATGTATATTCAAACTAGTATGATCATTTTGGCTGAAAGAATATATCGAATTAATATGACTAACAAGATTAACGATGCGTAGTCTGGTTTAACAATGGAATAAGTGCTTTATTTTGTTGTTTTTTTTTTTAAATATTTCAATAAAAAGAAATTTATTATTGAACATATATGTATTTACCAAAGAAGTGTTGTTTATAGATTTTGTTGAAGCACAAATTTCTGCTGTGGTAGTGGAAGTAGCAGTCGTCCCATAGTTTATAAAAACGTCTTGTACTACATTTCAGTCTGTAGGCTGAAAAAAGATGTCATTTTGATACTAATCGTACATGTTACTATTCCGTTCTGCTATAGAATGAAATTTAAATTCATCTATCTAATTCGATAAAAAAAAAAACTATAGTTTTGTCGAATTTAACATTAACCCGAAAATAACCTGTTCTTTCTAAATAACCAGACATATTGAACAAATATTTTAAATAATACAAGTAAAAAGCAAAAGAGACAATAATAACACATTAAAAGATATCATCACAACAGTTTGAAGTTATTAAAAATAATGCTAGAGGCACCCCTTGCTTCAGACAGGTAAGGTATGCATCTTTCGTCGTTTAGTTTTATATAATAGTTGCATCTTACCGAATTTTACCACTTTATTGAATTTAACCATTGATTAGAACGACGAGAATTAAATGCAAAATAGAATGTGCTAATATTCAGAGCAAACAATATCAATAATTAAAATATGCTTGGTAGTAACGGTGACGGTTTAAACATTGTACTATATAAAATGATAAATATCTTTAAATGGCCTTATTGTTCCTTTTAGTTACAGAGGAGGACGTCGATGTATGACCTATTAATATTTCACATAATTAAAATAAGTAGACAAATAAATCATGCAAATGTTGGGAAATAGTTTTATCATTTTTACCTCTCCCATGATAGCTAAATCTTCTATGATGTAGCTTGAATCCAAGATATTTGTATCCATGGTAACTAGTGTGTACAGGGTATGTACCTCCATGGTCTTAAAAAGATAATAAACTATATTTGCCAATCTTACTTACATTTCATACAAATACGAATTCAAATTTTAACTAAATTATAAACAATGGTTTTTCATTTATCTTAAAAATATATATATAAATAAAGAGATACATATTTGAAAAATAGAAATATGCTTCTAAGTCTCGCATTTTTTTATCAATTGTTTTAGTTTTAGTTTCAAATTTCAAATTGTGATGCAGAACAGTATGTTTCAGCATCAATTTCAAAATCTTAAAATATTCTAATTATAAAAGTAAGCCTTTTATTTTGCATAGATAAATGTTCGTTTTCAACAAATGAATTGAAAAGGAATTTCAGATATCAAACCAAATTACCTAAGGACACAAACAGATGGTTTTTGTACAATCGTCCAAAACATACATCTACACTGTGGTAAGAGTCGTAGCAATTGTGCCATGATCTGTAGAAACGGTCTGTATTGCAGCTCAATTTGTAAGCTGTAAGAAGCAAAATATAACCAATATGTCATTGCAACTTTTAAAAGGATAAGGTGTATTAGGACTCATTGGGCCTTGTTAATTCACCTAAAATAAAGCATTGCTTGATTTCACCAGTAATTATATTTCTTAAGCATCTGAAAAAAAAAGCTTTTCAAATCTTTTTGATATTAGCTTAGCCTTGATGACACAATTTGACTGTCGCGACTTTAATATGATGTCCTACTGCGATATTTGTCTGATTTTAGCAAGGATAGACCGTATAAGAACATTTTGGTTAAATTATCGTAGAGCACAATCATCATTAAAATATTTTGAATAGATAAACTAAAGTATACTTACTGTATAAATATCTTAAAAAGCGACAGCTCTATATTATTTCTTAGTAGTCATGATGTTGCATGATTTCACAGTTTAACGAATTTACGGTCATTTTTTGCCGGTTTAACTCATGCAAAACCAAAAACAACATTGTTCTAATAAAAAACATATATTCAACATTTAAGTCTGAGATAGTTTGAAATATATTTGATTTTAGGACCACTTTGGACCCAGATCGTTGTCGATATTCAAATAACATAAATCCGTTAAAAAGGTACAAATCGTATTTAAAAAATAAACTTAGTTAATCGCATCAACTCCAAAAAGAGCGAGACCGGGCGCATCTTAAACTATCAATCATTATGCTCTACTTTCTAGAAGAGACATCGATTGTCGAAATGCGCATCTTGTGCAGTAAAATTGATATCGTTTGAGTTATTCTAATACAGCTCAAACAGAGTTATATCCCTTCATCAGGCATAATTTAAGAGCTTGTCATTTGTATTTACCATTGAATGGGGATCTAGAGTTTTATATAGTTCAAACTGTTTTGCCATCCATCCTTTCACCTTTTCTATTTCTTAGTTTTAATACGTTTATGTATATGTGTTTAAGGATTGAATTCCTTTTTTTATTTGTAATGTTATTAGAGTATAAAAGAGTTGACCGAAGCACCGTTACATACTTAAATGTGCGCTCGATCAACGCTTTTATAACCCTAATAATTTACAAAAAAGAGCATCCAATTCTTATAACTATATTTACATGCTACAAACATGAAATTACTTAATTCTAAAGTAGTATTGTTATACAAATCCTAAATAATTTGTTTTCAGCACATTACCGACATGCTTGTAAGTGAATCCTCCATTAACTAAATGGAAACCGTGATGACTGTTGTAATAGCCAAGGTAATCAAAATCACCACTTGCATAGCCACTGTCTATATGGTAACCTTTAAAAGATAAATTTGTATCAAGCAATTCTGTCAAATAAAAATCATCACCACATATTTAACAATTTATAATAAATCTATTTTAGGCGATTCGTAGATTAAAATCCCTTTAATCTGGTGTTAACCGTAAATGCTTAAGGTTCCATATGTTTATATATATAAAAAAGCTAAAAAAAAAAATGTCAACGGCACTTCTACATGTAGCCATGTCTTCCTTCTTCGGGTGAATTTATGGCTGTTTTTTTCCATTTAAATCATTTTTTGAAAATATTTCCGGAAGTAGTTTTAACCATTGGGTACTAACATCAATGGGATTCTTGACTTATGTCCCCCTACTTCCATATCGCTATTTAGCGCTTGATATATTGTAAAGACATCTGTCTATCATTGAAGATTGTACGCAAGATAACTTTTAAATTTCTGTGTCGTTGGGTTATTGTTGACATTGACGTATACCCCCATTTAATGTACCTTTATTGATACCATTTTGTTAATGCAATGGTTTGGGCAAAGACTGAAACCGCTATTGGTGCATTAAAATAATCTCACTGATCAATAGGAATTCAATTACTTTCTAAGTGCATAATAGAAGCGATAAAAAATATTTACCAAATAGACCCTGTTTATAGAGTCTGTCAAAGCACACACTGCCTTTGTGGTAATGTCCGTAGCAATCATCCCATAGTCTATAAAATCTACTCTCACTACACTTCAGTGTGTAAGCTGAAATTTAAGTATTTGATAGTTAATTCATTGTAATTATAAAAAATCCTTAATTCACAAGAGTTATCATACAACACAATACAATAACAATCAATAGACTAAGTACCCTTACAAATTTCATATTGTAAAAATGAACTTCTGAAATTATTAATGCCATTCTAAAAAGAACTATAAGAGACGGATTTTAAAAAAGTACTAGTATGTTTACACATTCAAAAAAAAGCTATTAAAAATAAAGTTAAGTCATAAATCATATGCAAACGAATTTTCCTTGTGTGAAATTTTAGAATTACGTAAAGCATCAAGTATCCCCCAAATCACAACCTTTACTTTTAAAATGTAAAATGTAAATGTTTGTGCAATTAGATACACTCTTCGCCAGAATTTTTTTACTATTTTACCTTTTCCGTGATATGAGAATCCTCCATGAACTATTTTGAATCCAAGTTGATCATATCCATGGTATCCTACATGAAAACGAAAAATTTACAATTTCAGTATTTCTTTAAAAATATCCATTACACAAATAGAGTAAATGCCTCTTTTTTCTCAATTCTTTTTTTTTTAGGATTTTATTTACGAAATGTTTTCATAAGACTTTGTTTTCAAAAAAAAAAATTATTAACTACATATAATATTCAAAAGAACAATGTTCAACCTCCAGAAGAAAAAAACTGTTATTTTATCGCACGATTTGATTTAATTTGCATATTGAGCTCATTTAGATATGAACACGATGTGTTAAAAAAATACCGACTGAAGTATGAACACTTGTGAGTATGAATCATGTAATATCTTAGAATCCATTTATATTCAATGTCAGATTTTATTGTATGACGCAATTATTTATATAATTATCCTCTTTCAGAATAAACTGGCTTAATCTTCTCTAATAATTTTTGCATTTGCATTTGCTGTTTAATTTCATTTGTTGTTATATATAAATGACATAGTTACAAGTGCATTGTAGTTTCATTAGTTAGAAATGTAAGCATGGTATTTAAAAGAAGTCATGAACAACTAATGGAGATTTAGAACGATTCAGATTTCAATATTAAAACGAATTCTTAAAAATCATCGACTGAAGTATGTATTAATCATAACCATCTCGTTGTCGAGTGGTCTAAGTAGTCCGTATGCAGTGCAGTTATTACTTAGTCTAGCTTGTCGTCACTGGGGTTGTTAGCTGGTACCCCACTCGAAGCAAGGTACGCTCAAATTCGATCTTAACTGATAAGGAAAACAATTTTTTCGGCCAAAAGGCAATGGTGTTTTTCGGGTACTCCTTCTTCCTGTACCAATAAAATCTAGCCACCATGAGAAAAGGCCTGTTTACTGAAAGTGGCGTTAAAGACCAACAATCAGTCTTTCATAAAAAGCTTATTGTCTTGCATTTTAACAACATTGAGTGGATTAAAGATGTTTATGAGAATAACAGTTTTGGCATATTGAAAAGTCCGATTCTTTTAAAAGTGTTTTTGTTTTGAAAATGACCAATCTTATTCATCTTGATACGCTACATCAATACTTTTGAATATGTGAGTAATGACATAAAAACTAGTTTCGTATTTGAAAGTAGAATTTTATGAACTAAATAATAATATTGATACAACAAACAGAAATAATTCGTGATCAAATTAAATCCATAATATGAAATCTTAGGTACCTATTGAACTTGAAGAATAAGACACAAATAGATGTTGCTGTTGAAGATATCCAAAGCACCGACCCACACTGTGATATTGGGTGTAACATTTATTCCACACACTGTAAAAACGAGTTCTACTGCAGCTTAACTTGTACGCTGAAATTAATTATAAAAAATAGGCATACTAAAAATATACTAGTATGTTCTTGTTTTGTGCTGTTATGCCATGCACTACTCACGATTAGGGGAGGGTTAAGCATTTGAAAAACTGTAGCACCGTTATATTCTGTATGTGCCTTCCTAATTAAGTCAAGAGCCTGTAATTCAGTGGTTGTCGTTGATCGCTCGCTGTCTATCATATTTGTTTTTCGTTTATTGTTTTGTACATAAATAAGCCTGTTTGTTTTCACGTTTTAATTGTTTTACATTTTGTCATGTCGGTTGTCTCATGGGCAGTCATACCACATCTCTTTATTTGTAAATTAGTTTTGTTATTTAATCAATTATTTATCAAATGAATAACAGATAGTTTTTACGTCACATCCGGTTTCTACAAAAAAGGGTCGAAAAAAATGTTCCCTTGAATTTGACAGTTGTAGGAAATTAACCCTGTATTTCATTGCAGAAAAAACATTCCTGAGTCATAAACATATACCTTGGGTGTTTCAAAGGACCATTATTTTTTTTTTTGTGTTTCTATAAAAATATTTTGGAAACTTGAGGTGACATGGTTACTAAAGCTTGTTAACAGGGAAAAAAAGCGGTGAAAATTTAATTGGTTTACTTCTGGTGATGGTTATTATCTTATTTGCAATGAAATGTTATGTGAAATTTTCAGTGTAGTACTGGACAGGATAAAACTTCACCCCATGCCAAATATTTCTTTATTGGAAACAAAGATAGGTTCTGCGCAATATTTTGTAAAAGCCAATTTAAGGTAGATGGGGTGTCTAAATTATAATCCATAGAATTTTTTAATAATTTGCTAAAATGAAGTTTATATCATGATTTAAAAAAAATAATAAAAAGAATGGGTCACGGGGCTTATTTTTACGCTACAGGTTGTGCAAAATTGACAGATTTTGTATAGATTATGCATGGAAAACCCAATTTTCTGCCATAAAACGAAAACTACACCATAGAATTTTGAGATAAAATATGAGAAGATAGCTCTAGTATTATGCTTTCAAATAAGAAAAAGAAAAAATGGGGTCACGGGACCCGTTTTCTTGCTACATAATAAAATAAGTAAATTCCAAACACATTCTATTGTAAAAGTAACTTTATCTGAATTTTCTGCCCTTACATTTGAGTTGCCTCCCCTCATGTGGCAAAGTTAGAAAAAAATGTTTCAAACAAAAGTATTCTGTTTTTTGTAAAATACAACCATAAATATAATAAAACATGTCATTTTCTTTATTGAAATGAAAATTCTTACACGTGAATTACCTGTTACTCTCAAAATTTGCACATTTTATTAAAGATCTAGACCGACTGTTTTCTGGTATTTCAAAATCCAAGATGAAGGAAGACACCCTATTTACCTTAACAAAGACTAGTAGGTGAAAACAATGGTGGTATTACTCCTGTATATATAAGTTTCGAACTGACGTTTTTTGAGTTTGAGTTGTTCCCTTTGTCGCCATTTTGGCGGAGAAATGGTGGATTTTCTTATTTGACTAACTTAATAGAGACATGTAAAATAAACAAGTTTAATGAGTTGCAGATCCTTACTAGATCGTAAATGCATTAATTGAGGCCTATAAAAATTAAATGGTTCCGAAACAACATTTTATAAAGTCCAGCGGTCAGTATAACAAGACGAATTTGGCTGATAATGAAAGAATTTTAGCATGTAGGCCTCTAACATGGTGACAAAGGGGAAATAACTATTGTTCTAATTGCGTCAATCAGAATCTATCTTATAGAACGATAAGTCTTTGTATAATATTACCATGTCCATGGTAGCTGAAACGACCATTTACTATTTTAAAGCCATGGTAACCAGTAGTTCCTCCAACAACACCAGTTAAAGGATGGGGTGCTCCAATCAAACCTTGCTTTTGTAATTTTGGCACACAAATGCTTGCATGATGGAAGGCATTATAACAAGATGTCATTGTCCATATAAATTCCAATGACCTTACATGGTAATGGTAAACTGAAAAAAAAACAGATTTTGATAAGAATATAGAATTGTAAGATAATGCTAGAAACCTTTTTTTCTTAAAGTATTGCAAGGATAAAAATATTCAACATATGTTAAGAAAGTAAAATTCACATGCATGCACTTTCAAATCTTTAAATTTTCTCCCCTCGCATTACAAAATACTGTTTAAAATGAAAATAACTTATATGCTATCGTACATACATGTGTATTGTAAACAGATAAAATTGACCATAAAATTGTCATATAAAAACTTCATAACATTGATTAGATTAGCCAAAATGATAAAAATCATATTACATGATAATTTAGGCTAGGGAAGAAATCCATAAGCATACAAAAAAGTCATAAAAAGTTTGATGTTTTTCTTTACTGACCGGTTTCATGATAAATAATTCCTCTCCTCACAAATTTAACCCCAAGTCCAAAGCTACGACCATATTTCTGGTAGGCGTGGCGATGTCCAATCAGCCCAGTCTTTATAAGACCCGGGAAGCAATCTCCTATCGATCCATTGTCATTAAAACATGCACTGAATGCATTGTATAACTTCAGGGGTTCACATTTACGTGCATAATCTGTGAAAATATCAATTAAATTGAATAACTGATTTTATTTTCTTCCCATAAATAAATTGATTTTGTAGTTAAAATGTAGAGATTTTTATTTTGTTTACTATTATAGACATGTCTCTTATAGTCTGTGTCTACATTTATTTATTTATTTAATTGTTTTCTCGTCTTGTTTTTGTAAAGATTGTTTTCCTTGTCTGTTCTGACGCTTTGATTTAGTCTTTGCTTACTTATCTATATCTCGTAGTGTGTAATCGAAAAATAAATAAAACCATCTTAAATCTGGTACATCATATGTTAATTTCAAAAATGTATTTCTTATCAGAGGTGCTCGACATCAAGTATAGGAAATGCAGAAGCATAAAAATTGAATAATAATTAATCCAAAACATGATTTAAAAAAAAAGGACAAACTGAAAAAGTAAAAATTCTTCATTTTTTCTATGCATAATTTTACATTAAATTGCATCTCAGCGGTTACAAAATAAATTGTCAAAATCATCTTTATTTAAAATCTGGCGCCCACGATTATGAAGATACCAGAATTCCTATTCTTGTAGCCTCATTGAAATACTATATATTTACTTACAGTAGTTTTTGTAGCGGAGGCCGTTTCCAATCAGATCAATACCGAATTGATGGAAGCGCCTATAAAGACGTCCGACCACTATTTTATGAAAATGTCCTGCAAGAATATAAAGAAATAGTTATCATGACACTCAATAGATTGAATAGAGATGTCCCTAAAAGACAAAAATGTCTTAAGTTAAAAGTAAATATGCATTGAATCCCGAATAAAATAAGCATACTAATATACAAGTTTTGATTAATTGTTTGGTTAATGTTGTTTAAATTGGTTAAAGGCAAAAGAATATAGCACTCCGTACTTCAAGTTTATAGATTTTATTTTAATGAACCTCTTTAGTAAGAGGTGAAAATTTCATAAATCTTATTTTTTTACATTCTCAACAAATCACAGCTTTTGCATTCGATAATAATCAAATCATAGATTTTTGTCAACAATTGTGCAAAAGTTGTTTTTTACCTGCCGTGAATGTTTTTTGATATCTACGAATGAATGTTATTTGTTTTCACTTAAGGATGTTTGCTACTCTGTTTCAAAATAACAAGCTTTTTAAAACACTGTTATAAATTGATAGTATATAAATGAAGGAACAAAAAAGCAGAAAAAAATGAAGGGTCCGTGTGCTTGTTTTCGAGATATAAGCCATTGAAAATTGGGCGGGGAATGATTCTCTCTAGTTTTTTAAACATTTAACATTGGCACCTTATTTCTTTCAAAAACAATGAAAGATTTTATAAGATTTTTAAATATGGTTTTTGAAACTATATGTAATGAAATAAAGAAAAGAAGAGAAGGGGTTAGCAGGCAAACCTTTTAATGGCACTACATGGATAAAACCAGAGAATTCCGAATATCTAGCAAACAATCAAAAACATGAGGAGCGAACATCCTTAAATATACTGATACGTATATGTTATTGGTTGCATTGTCATCCAATAAAATTATGTGAAATGGTCAAATGTTTATAACTGTATTATTTTATACACAATTTAAGGATAAGTTATCAATCAATTCCTCAACATTTTATAAGAAAATAAGATTAACATACGCACCAGAGTGTTGAATGTGACCTGCAGCGTAATCGTTGCCATATCCAGTTAACAGATCCTTGTAACTATTAAGATGGTTCTTATATAATCCAGTATGTCCTAGTATGCCCCCATGACGGTAAGAGCCATATCCTTCGGTGATAGTGGCTGTAATGAAATATCGAAAATGACAATTTTATGTTATCATATTTTTACAGCTTACAAAATTGGCCGGTTATAACAAAAGACCAACTGTATTAACTCTAATCCACACATAAATAAAGAGAAAATGAAAAAAAAAATCTGCTTTAAAGGATGAAGACACTAGTAAACAGAAAATAGTAAACGACGAGACTTGGCACAACATCCATCATTTATCTTGATAGAATTTACAATTTGATGCTTTAATGTCAGGTTAAAATTAAACAAACTTAAATAAGCAGTTTTTTTTTCTCTCGATATAAGGTTTAGAATATATGTCTGGTGAGTCATATCAAAATGTAGAATAAAACGAATCCACCCTATCAGTTTTCCAAAATTTCTTAAATATTGAAACATTCGGCATGAAATTTTTGTACCCCCTTTATACACATACAATAAAACTGATGAAAATAATAATTACATTTATCTTGGATTATCATTTTTAGAACCATCATCATTATTGACTATGTTTATTCGCCGATAAACACACAAAAAAACCCTTAAATCTTTAGACACAGAATAATTAACATATCTCTCCTATATGGACAATTTCCACGTGTGATTAAAAAAACAGCAGCTTAGCTTGTTTTTTTAAAGAGTTATCTTTCTTTTCAGCAGTCTGCATAGAAAAAAAAAAACACTTTGAAATCCGAAGTTTTCAAGGCATAGAAAAATATCACAATATACAATAATATTTTGCAGGTAAACCTTGCGTTTTTGAGAGTGCAATTATAAGAAAATAAAATGTAATATTAAAAATGAAGAAACTAGCCTTGCACTTTCGACAATTAAAATAAGTGAAAAATCATATAAAATTTATGACATGGATATGCCCAACAGTAAGTCAATCAACTTACCTGCCACACAGACAACCAGTAAAAGAGTGAACACTCCTCGAGTCATGTCGATGGTTATGTTGCTGTATCATCATCAAGTTTCTTTATATAGTATTATTCACTACCATGTGTTGCATAATAAGTATCTTGACTTTTGCACATACCATGTAAAGTTTCATAGAAGTTATTCCATGCGTAGTATGTTTGTGTTATCAATTTTATTTCCTCATCAAAGACTTATCTTATTTTGTTTACATTTCATTTGCTTTGGATGATTTATCTTACATAACCTGCATCTTTTTTTTTTATTATTTTAACAATTCGTGAAGTTGTAAAGACATATGAAAGGAGCAAGGTCATACTCAAAAGTTGCTAGTTTTGCATAAAACTTACAATAACATTTACCATGTAAACGTTTCGGGTTAATCTTTAATGCTCACCTAAGCAGCTGAAATTCCTTCGAATTATTTTTGAAGAACACTAAAAAAATCGTTAAAACCTTGAAATCGTTGATACCTTGTATATAGACCTTAAATCGGCTTATATTATGTCGATAACAAATTAAATATTGATTTCAATGTACATGATGTATGCAGATGACAAGGGGAAAAACATACAGTACTCATTCAACTCGTTGACATTTCTTACGGAAGGAATTTTTTTTAAAAAGATAAATACAATTTTTTGTTTTAATCAAATAAAACGAAAATTGTAAAACATTAATTGTTATATGAACACAGATAAATTCTACTTTTGTTTTGACGTGTGCTGAACATTTTTTTTTTAAATTCGTTAAAAAAGAAAACCAAATTTAGCAGTTATCAGAGATGTTCTGAGCGACACTTAAGTCCAAAGTCCATGGTTAACTTGATACTTGACCTTAAAATTTAACAGTTTGTATCTGCAAGTCAGTGTCTTTTATTGATGCAGAAAAATCCATTCAGTGGAAACAATTTGAGATATTAAGGCATAATGTATATAAATATAAGAAGATGTGGTATGAGTGCCAATGAGACAACTCTCCATCCAAGTCAAAAGTTATAAAAGTAAACTATTATAGGTCACAGTACGGTCTTCAACACGGAGCCTTGGCTCACACCGAACAGTAAGCTATAAAGGGCCCCAACAAATTACTAGTGTAAAACCATTCAAACTAGAAAACCAACGGTCTAATCTATATAAAAAACGAGAAACGAGAAACGGTTTATATATAAATAAAGGAACTAACAGGTACACGACAATGAGGGTGGTAAAGGGTTATTTTCGTGCAACGTGTTTTGCCATTTTTATTTCACGTGCAACGTGTTTTGCCATTTTTATTTCACGTGCAACGTGTTTTGCCATTTTTATTTTACGTGCAACTGTGAAAAAGGTTCGTTATTCATCGTGTTTCGTGAAATCGGTAAAAATATCAACGTGCAAGAAATTTTTAATTGTTCGTTCATTGTGAAATGACAATTCTATTTCGCGTTCTTCCGTGCAGATACCCCCCCTTTACGCCCCTCGACAATATGACAACACAAAAAACCAAAATACATCTTGAGGTCAACATACTGCCATCTACAATAAAACTCAAAACTCAAGTTATAATGATTTTGTTTTAAGTAAGCTACATTCATACTAAATATTATTGTTATACACATATGAACTTTCACGTTACTACAATCTGTCGATACCTATATTTTGGCGTTGCACAAGATTATGTTTTTCTCAGACTATTACTAAGAGTCTTTTATTACACTAATTCCATTGGAAGTTGGATGTGTATTGATTGATATTTAAGTCTTAGATAGATATAAGAAGATGTGGTATGAGTGCCAATGAGACAACTCTCCATCCAAGTCACAATTTGAAAAAGTAAACCATTATAGGTCAAAGTAGGGCTTTCAACACGGAGCCTTGGCTCACACCGAACAGCAAGCTATAAAGGGCCCCAAAATTACTAGTGTAGTGTAAAACCCTTCAAACAGGAAAAACAACGGTCTAATCTATATAAAAAAACGAGAAACACTTATGAACCACATCAACAAACGACAACCACTGAACATCAGGTTCCTGACTAAGGATAGGTGCAAACAAATGCAGCGGGTTTAAACGTTTTAACAGGCGCCAACCTTCACCCTAACCTTAAACAGTGGTATAACATTACAACATAAAAACACACATAATAGAATATCAATTGAAATGACTTAACTCGATCAAAAATACAATACACAAAAACAAGTGAATATACACTGAACGAATGTTTGATCTGTGACACAATATAAATAAAAAAGATGTTTCAATGTCAAAAAGACAACTTTAACCTAGGACAAAATGGCGTTAAATAAAGTAACGTACACAAGTACATTTAAATATAATAATTTTGTTGTAAGGAGTACAGAAACATTTTGTACAAAATACATTTGCTATTCATAGTACGAGTACAGAAGTGAAAATTTTTCCTTATACTAAATACTTGGTAAGGTGGTACATATTAAAAATAGTAAGTTATCTTGTGCAATGCCAAAATAAAAGTAACGACAGGCAGTAGGATAGTTAAGATTTAACCTTATAATAAATATGTATTTTCACTTCGTACTATGAACATCAAAATTATTTATTTTGTAAAAATAATTCCTTTCTCTATTGGTACTGTACACGTATACCTAACAACAAAATTATTTTCATTTACCTGTGTTTAAAGTTTTTGCAAATGGATGGTATTTTTGTTCGAGCATATAGTTTTTCTTTAATTGTTTAACATTTCTTACCGATATAACATGTTACTTTTATTATTCTTCCCTTAGTTTATTTATTTTGTATCAATATTATTTATTTTGTAAAAATATTTCCTTTCTCTATTGGTACTGTACACGTATACCTAACAACAAAATTATTTTCATTTACCTGTGTTTAAAGTTATTGCAAATGGATGGTATTTTTGTTCGAGCATTTTGTTTTTCTTTAATTGTTTAACATTTCTTACCGATATAACATGTTATTTTTATTATTCTTCCCTTAGTTTATTTATTTTGTATTTACATTGTGTCATAGGTCAAATTTATTTGTTCAGTGTATTGTCAATGGTGTTAATATGTCCTTTGATTGAGTTAAGCTATTTCAGTTGATATTTTATAGTGTGTCTTTCTATGTTGTGATGTTACACTATTGTTTCAGAAAAAGGGTGAAGGTTTGGAACCATTAAAACGTTTAAACCCGCTGCATTTGTTTGCACCTGTCCTAAGTCAGGAATCTGATGTTCAGTTGTTGTCGTTTGTTGATGTGGTTCATAAGTGTTTCTCGTTTCTCGTTTTTTATATAGATTAGACCGTTGGTTTTCCCGTTTGAATGGTTTTACACTAGTTATTTTTTGGGGCCCTTTATAGCTTACTGTTCGGTGTGAGCCAAGGCTCCGTGTTGAAGACCGTACTGTGACCTATAATGTTTTACTTTTATATATTTTGACTTGGATGGAGAGTTGTCTCATTGGCACTCATACCACATCTTCTTATATCTATGATGTTATGTATAGATAAAACAATTTCTAAATAGAAAATGAACGTGGGTGTGTATATAAACATCCCAAAAAACCATTCGAAAAGAATTCAAATTAAGTTATGTTTTAATTTGTTGATGACAAAATCGATGCTAGTGCCAATGAAAACAATATTCAAAGATCTTATTACAACATTAATAAGATAACCTTTACTAATAACTTTGTAAGTCTGTTCAAAGGTTCGATAAGTTTACACGGATCACATGGTGATTTCCGCGCTTTTAGTACAATATTACCCTAAAATTTAGGATGTGCAATACCATTTTAAAGTTTTCTACAGGCACAACCAAATTTACTACTCAAATCTTTGTATCTATGATACATGACTTTATGTATTAGTAAACGTTGTTATGAACTTTCACCTAGCTGTCAGTAAATGCGAATACTCTCGGATCTGTATTTTTTGTGTCTTTTTTGTTGTAAGGAATGTATAAGTACCCTGCTACGTCTGGTCTGTCTCATTGTTTGATGTTTTTCTGCTTTGCATCGATCTGATGAGTTAAGTCCTTTTTAACTACTTCTTATGTTTTGTTTTTATGTTGTGCTGTAATACCTTATGTTTTTCTGTTGTGCTGTAACACCACTGTCTCTGGTTATGGGAGGGGTGAGCGCTCACAAACATGTTTAACCCCGCCACATTCTTTGTCTGTGTGTCCCGAGGTCAGTAGGTCAGTGGTTGTCGTTGGTTCATGTCTGTCACTTTTTTTTTAAATTGTTTTGTTATGAATTATGCCTTTAATTTCTCAATTGAATTGTTTCACATTTTTCATGTCAGGGCTTTTTATAACCGACTGTATAGTATGGGTTTTTCTCATTGTTGAATGCCGTAAAGTTGCATATAATTGCTTACATCAACTTCATTTCAACTTTGGTGGATAGTTGTCTCACTAGCAATCATACCACATCGCCTTATTTCTATATTCTAAACTTTTTGATAATTGTTTTCAATATATAAAAATGGCAGCATTTGCTATAAATTTATTGCTTTGGGATAAAATACGACATATTTTGTTAATAGTTAACAAAAGGTAAAACATGGTAAAACACGCTTCACAGACGAGCAAGTGATAAGTATGCTGAAGTTTCTCATTGACAGCACATTTGTTGAATTTGGAGGTAGACTTTTTCAGCAAGTTGTCGGCATTCCTATGGGAACGAACTGTGCGCCTCTCCTTGCCGACCTCTTCTTATTTTCATATTAGTCGGAGTTCATTCAGACACTTGTCAAAAACAAGAAAATCAAAGAAACCCGATCATTTAATTTCACATTCAGATATATTGATGATGCTCTTTTCATTAACAATCCAAACTTTTCTGACTGAATTTTGTAATTATGAATTTTCCCGACCTTAGCAGCAATATACCAACTTCACCTGCATATTGGATATAAATTTCCAAACTTATTTGGTATTCAAGAGCTTGCAACTACTACTCAGACTTGATAAAACGTTACAGTGTCTAAGCAGAAAGTTGATGAGCCAAGGTTATGTCAAAGAACGTCTCGTCCTGTTTTTAAAAAAGTTCATTGGAAGAAACCAAGACCTTGTTGATAAATATTCCGTGTAAACTTCACAAATGATACATGATGGTCTTAAAGTATAGATTCTAGGTACTGGCGTTGTGTATCATCTTAATTACGTGTTAAAGTTCCCCCGTTGTTGTCCTTGTATATTTTTAACCTTTACTGTTTATCCATATTTGATTATATATTTAAGACGTGGATCGGTACTTATACATCCCGCCATTGTGTTATTGTGCTATGGTCAATTTTGAGTTCTTGTCTTTCATTTTTGCTTATGTACTTTTTCTATATGCCATTTTTTGTTTCTTTGTTGAAACAGTTATTTGTTTTTATAGTGATTAAGATTATATTACAATGTTGACTGCTGTACCCCAATTTTTGACGTTTTTACCTATTATGTCTGTTTGTTTTGCTCACACATTGTTGTCAATATAATGGAATTCTATGCGACTGTCATACAAGTGAGAGGTTTAGCAAGCTATAAAATCATGTTTAATCCACCATTGTCTACATAAGGAAATGCCTGTACCAGGTCAGGAATATGACAGTTGTTTTCCATCCGTTAGATGTGTTTGAGCTTTTGATTTTGACATTTTCTAAAGGACTTTTTTTTTTTTTTTTTTTTTTGTTATTTTTTTTTTTTGTTTTTCGTCTGCTCTTTTATTTTTGTGTATTACGTTTTGATTGTTGAACGTAACTACAATATAAAGAAAGTGTCCATGATTGAGAGAAAAATATTCAAAATATTATTGCTGCACAATAAAAATAGTATTGAATATTAACTAAATGATATGTTTACATCCACGTGTTAATTAAACCATCATCTTCCTAATTTTCATGTACAATTGGAATGTTTAATATCTGCCTTTCATGTACAGAAAATATGATTCATAAAAGAACAAGAAATATCAGACAATATTGTCGACTGATTTCGTAAAAATTAATGAATTGGAAACATACTTTGATATAGTTTCTGAGGAGGAAAAGCAACACAGGATCAGACGTTATACGACATGTTAACATACAACAAGAAAAAAATACAAATAATTTTATTGTATTCAAACAATGAACATGCAACATATGGTTTTTTTAAAATAATATATAAGTAGGTACTTTGACTTTTGAAAGTACATCCGTAAAAATGGCTTGTGGGATACTAGTCCTTCTCATTGCAGCAATTGCTGCATGTAAGTATTCACGGGGATTTATAATTTGCTAATTTCATTTTACGCTTTATTCTGAAAAGCTAATTGAATCTAGAATTTAAATTTCTTTCTAACAAAAGGATTAGTTGTTTTGTATGTTAAAAGTATTGGAAACTATTATAAAACAAAAGACAAAATACTAATGAAAATTATTCCAAAACAATGGACTTAAAAGTAATGAAAATTATTCTAAAACAAAAGACTTAATAGTGATGGAAAATATTCTAAAACGAAAGACAAAAAAGGAATGAAAATTATTCTTAAAGAAAAGACTGAAGTAATGTGCAAAATTTAATGAGTAAATGAGAAAAAAACGTTGTGGGACTCAATCAGCAGACGATTTAGTTATTAAATGTAGAAAATAAATTGTGCTGAAAATATATTTTAAGTTCCTTCGTGTTCATAGGTGTGAACTGAGTCTTCTAGTATAGTAGTCTCTTGTTTGAATTGTAAAGAAATTTAAAGCGTATTCAATTACATCACTGTTACAGTTTAGCTTAAGATTCCACATAACCACATAAAGATTATGGCTATGTATTGACCATAAGTTTTTTCTATCTTGTCTTCTGGTAACTTAAGAGTCGTGCAAATAATATGTTTGTCTTTTTTCCTTGTTTGTCCTTAAGTTAATATTTAAATGAATATCTTTGCAAATCTAAAAATCGTTTTAACAGAACCGACTGGATCAAACCAAATACTCGAAAATTGGAATTTGCTCATCCTCCACTAGGCAGGTGGCATTTAGGAGTAATAGCGAACACGTGTTGGCTGCGAGTCATAATAATGTCTGAATAGGGTAACATGTCTTCCTGTACTTTATTACTCTTGTTAACTAGCACTAAAAACGCGGCTCAATGTGTCGATCTAGTCAAAAGTAGGGATTATATGCATAACGTATTAACATGTTCTCGTCCTGCATGTAATATTCGACATTCCACATTGAACGTTACTCACCAATCAAATTGAATCATTAGCATCATTCTCGACATTATGACTGTACTTTGAGCCGCCGAGGAAAACAATTAAATATTGTATTTTGTCTATATCCCATTTGAGAATTATAAGATTAGTTATGTTAAGTTCCAACTAAGGTTATACTGCCTTTTATGATAGGGTTTTGAAGTGTAATTTTTCTATTACTTATACCTTTAAGCCATCATACCTCGTGGAAGGCCTTACAAACTTTTAATACATTTTTTTGTTTTATCTTTTGAAAAACATGCAACTTATTAGTAATTCAAACTAAAAGATCGGGACAATATGCTTTCAAGTTGTTCCGTTTAAAAATTTTCATTTGTGTTGATAAATCATTTATATTAAATTTCAGCTACTACGGGGTATAGCAGTAATGACTATTATCCTGATGGTAAAGACGATTACAGCTACAAAGCAGTGAACTCCTACAGCTACAAACCTAAATTAGTTAAATCAACTGCATATTCAAGTTCAAGCTCCCATGTTTCTCACCATCACGGCCATCATGCGGGTTATGCCGGGCACAAACTTATTACTGGTATTATTCTTAATGTAAACGTCTTATATTTAGTTGTATGGTTACATAAACGTCATGTGAACTCTGTTCGATAGTTGTCTCATGGTTAATCATACCACATCTCAATTTTCATTTTATGAGGGTCCTCGGTGGCGGAATGGTCTATGTAGTAGAATACTGTATCACTAACCTGTCAACACTGAAGTTGTGAGTTCGATTTCCGCACGTGGCAGGTGCGCTCGACTCCAATCCTAATTGACTTGTAATGTCACTTTTCCTCCGGAGGTCAGTGGTTTATCCGGGCACTCCGGCTTCCTCCACTGATAAAAAAACTGACCTCCACGAAATAGCAAAATAGTGCTGAAAGTGGGGTTAAACATCAATCAATCAACAAATCAATATTTTCATATTAAGTAAGAGCATATTTAAATTGTATGATCTCGGCAGAAAATATTTTTTTTCGGTATTCACACATTCTATACAAAATACCAATTATGTGTCTTTAATCAAGCTTGCCGAGGGAACTCGACATATTCCAAAGTCATGCTATGAATTATGTACCCTCTTGTTATTCAAGCTTCATGTAATAAACTTTTGTAAAAAAAAAGTCCCAATTTTTTTTCAGGCTGGCAACTTTATTACCAATCGAGTTGCTTGTTTGAAAATTAATTATAATGTCAAAAAGCCAATATCTAGTCGATGCACATGAGTTTAGCGATACTCATTATTATTTTCAGTTTACTTGTATGTAATAACTGCTGCTTTAACTATCGTATTTAACTTTCATATATGCAGGTCGTTGATGTGTTACATTACAGTTTGACAGTATTTCAAAACATTTTTTTTTATCAAAGACAGTCATTTCATGAATCATATTTATCTTGCAGTCTAAATGCATATAATAACCCATACTAAAACATATATTCTCTTTGGACACTACTCCTATAACGAGTAAACTGTATTTTCCAAATTATTGTTAATGTCACAGTTGGCTTCGGTGTCGCCTTCTTAGCCACTCGCTCAAGCAATGTTGATGTTTATTTTAGTTGTAGTAGCTTAACTCATCAAAGACACCAGGCTTATAATTGTGAATGCCAGACGCGTCTTTTGTCTACAAAGTAATCAACAGAAACGCTCGAAAGATGAATCAGAAAAGTTTAAAAGGCCAAAAGAGAGTATAAAAGCTGAGCTTTTCTTCTTTTTGAAAGCTCGTTCGAATATATATATTATATTTTCGTGCATTGAACGTATATCTTATATTTAGCTAGTTGACTAGTATTAACAGTTTTCCTACCGAAGGTCTGTGGTTCTCTCCGGTTACTCCGGCTCCCTCCACTAATAAATACTGACCGCCACGAAATGGCACAATAGTGTTGAAAGTGGCGTTAAAAACCAATCAATCAATCAATCAATCAATCAATCAATCAATCAATATATTTAGCTATTTTCTTGAACTTCTAGGACATGCCCACAGATTTAAGGTAGGACGTATATTTAAACGTTTCCACAGACTTGGTGTTGAACTTATCGGACGTGGAGTCAGATATAATGGATTTTGTGAGTTATATTATACACTAAACGTTTGACTTTTTTTAAAATACTTTACTTTGGATAAAATTAGTTTATGTGAAATATTTTGTATGAAAATTTTTAGTTATTGAAAGAAAGCTACCAAAGCCCACAGACAGTTCTAATAAAAACAAGTTATTTCAAATGCAAGTTACATTTTTTATTCTAAACTTAGCTGCAATTACCGAAGAACAATTATGCTTTAGTGCCAAATATTGAATGAACAATACAAATAATGAACAAATAAGAAAAGCTGTTCTATAAGGAATAGTTATTGGCATTGCATAATTGCACAGTTTTATCTGTTTTTCTTGTCTTTTTTTTCAATCAAGAACATGCTATAGTTGGTTTTAATGTTCACATGCATTAATTCAAAATTATTTATCTATTATGGCAGACTATGGACGCCTTTGCAGTGCAAAAAAACTGTACGGTGCACTGAATTCCTGTTATGAAGATTATGGTGATATAGGCGATTGTTTCCCTGGTCTGATTAAACAAGGGTTGATTGGTAGACGTCACATTTACCATAAATACGGTCATGGATTTGGCTTAGGTGTCACTTTTGTAAAGAGAGGCATTGTTTATGGAAGATCTTGTAAGTAAAAACTCATTTTTTTGCAATGGAAATAAGTTATGTTCACCGAATGAGCAAATAAAAAAACGTAGTCTTATTACGCATTATTGTATCCAAACTATATGAGACATTTGAAACAAAAGAACACATAACCCATGCACAAAGTATCGTGAAACGAATGAATTTCAAATTATCCATTCACATTACATTACATTGGTTTCAACGTTTAAAAGCGTTCATTGCCAGCCGGGTAAATGTCTGCAGCAATATAACAGTGACAAGACTTTATATTGAATTAAATGCAAATCATGCAGATCTTATAGATACTTTTGGTACTTGTCCTCAAATCAGTTGGTAATCTCTGAATTGTTAGTTTTATACACCGTAATATTTTAAATTTGATTTGTTTTTCATATAACTCTTGCTTATGATGGAAGTTTCAAGCATTACCAAATTGCCATACCTGTTTTTTTTTTAGGCTTACCAAACGGTATGAGTATTGATAATTGTTGAAGGCCGTACGGTAAAATATAGTTGTTAACAGCCTCGTTTTTTTTAGCTCTGGTGGATAAACGTCTAATTGGCAATCATACCACATCTCCTTTTTAATATTAACATTTTTTTTTCAGTTTATAAATTTGGGTGCCGTCGACCAAAGTTCATTCGTTATATGACTTCCTGCTACAATAAGTTCCACCATGCAAGCACTTGTGTGTCAGTGTTGAGAAAACGACATCTAATCAGAACACCTCATTCATATCATGGTCACATGCATCTTGCTGGATACACACGTTTCCGCAGATTTAAGATTCGCCATGGGAGATTCAGATATGGAGGAAAATGTGAGTTATGTATAGATAATTTGAAAAACAAACGAGTATTAACAATCTATCACACACAACAAAACACAACTAACAAAATAAACTAATTAAAAGACCTCAACCATATGAAACTATACTGTTATATTTCTAATTGATGTTGACAGTTAGTTATAGACATTTTCTTGAGAATTTCAATTTTATGTAATGAACGAATACGAATTTTCATTATACATATAAAGTTGTTAACACATTAATCTTTAAATGTGATTTTGTATTTTATCTATTTGAAAAGAAATAAAATACAATTTTACAATAATTCAACAAAAAAGTGCGTCAATATTTTACTGTATCTTTTGCCTTTCGCCACAAAATATAAATGTGTGAAAAGTTGAGTGCTAAATAAATGTTGAACCTTGTATTAATGTGCCTATGCGTCAGTTATACAAATATTGATTGTTGTATTTTCATAATTATTGTCTATGAGAACCTTGTGTCATTTTTTACGTTTTTTTTGCACCTTTGTAAAATTAATTTGTCTATTCTCCAACCAATTATAGGCTAGAGGGCTAGATGATAGAATGATCCCGGTAAGGGGGTGGGTTGGTCGCCCGCTAACATGTTTAATCCCGCCACATTCTGTATATGCCTGTCCAAAGTCAGGAGCCTGTTATTCAGTGGTTGTCGTTTGTTGCTGTATATCATATTTGTATTTCGTTCATTGTTTTTACATCAATCAGGCCTTTAGTTTTCTCGTGTGAATTGTTTTACATTTGTCATTTTGGGACCTTTTATAGCTGACTATGTGGTACGGGTTTTGCTCATTGTTGAAGGCCATGCGGTGACCTATAGTTGTCAACTTCATTTGTTCTCTGGTGAAGAGTTGTTTCATTGGCAATTATACAACATCTTCTCGTTCTTATAGAACTCATCATAAGGGGCGGGAAATCGCCGACCCTTAAAACCCTTTCATTACCTCTAACTAAGAAGTTTGGTCGATTGAAGTAGAAGATTACCCTTCAACCGTGCCTCCATTTTACTTTGATTTGAGGGGTGTTTATGTTGTTTACAATTTTATCTGCTAATGGTTGTCTTTGCTTCTTGGTATCTTCTTACTTTTTGTGTTTTTATTGCATATAGATTACAAACTGAGTTGCAATAAGAGACGTTTCTACAGTCATTGGAACAGATGTTACGGTCGATACCATAGTGTTGGAAGATGCTTTGGATACCTAAGAAGAAAACATCTGTTTTCATATTATAATGGTAATTATGTTCACATGTACAACGTACAAATGTAAAGTGTTAAACCTAAGTTAACTTTTACGTTTTTCAATACTGCCCTTAGGTATATTTGGCTATTATCTTTTGCTTTCTTTAGGCCAGTTAGCTCCCAAATTACTTATTCATCATTTGCTTTCCAATAGTAATTGTTTATACCTGTTTTGATAAGAATAGTTATCCTTTTTTTCAAAATCCTTAAAAAATAATTGATTTGTTGTTGGTTGCTTAATAATGAATATAAAAGCCGTGATTGCTTCAAAATGAAAGAAAATATATTTCTATAAGGGTAAAAGTCATTTTTTTTCTTAACGAATTTAATGCATTGACAAAGTATTTGTTCTTACATTTATTTCGAATATTTTATGTGAAAGTTTAGATTAGTATGTTTATCAAGTAAATGAACTCATCATAGATTCAAGGATTAACAATCTTTCAATCCGTTTAACTGTCTATTTTGAATTTTCTGTTTACATAAAATTAGCAGGTTACTCAAGTGGTGTGGCTTATAATGCATACAGACCTGGTTACAGCAGTGGAATTAAATATGACTATGGTTATTACAAAAGCCATCATGGATTTACAATTAGAAATAATAGATTTTCATATGGAGGAATTGGTAAGCGAATCTAGAAATGCTAATGAATATATTTGAATAAAGGTAATTACGCAGGAAGATTGAAAAAAGTTAATGCACTGGTCATAACACTGAACAGCTGTTTTAAAAATATTTGACATTTCCAAAACAATTTTCATTTGAAAGCAATAAAAGTAAAAATGTTCAAAAATTGGTAATGCTCATGCCTATATTTCAGTTAAATTCATATAGATGTACGAAAAATTATATGCTGTTGTTAATATTTATAAGACTCGTTTGAGAAATTCAGTCGTATTTCATTAAAACCATTTTGATATAAAAATGACTTTGAATTACAGGATATAAACTGAAGTGCGGAAGAAGTCGATTTTACAGACTATGGGGTCAATGCTATAACCGATATCACAGTGTAGGAAGCTGTTTTGGACGACTGAGACGACAACATCTATTCTATAGATACGGCGGAGGTATACTATAAAATTTCACTTTATAACATTAAAGCAAACATATATACATTTTTTTGTGATTCTAGTAACTTTTACGAATCCGTTGGGATTAAACGTCTTAAAGTATTTATAAGGTAAGGTTTCCATGTTTTTCGTAACTTTTTCTATAATCAGGCACTACATGTTTTTCTGTTTTATTATAAATCAATCTATTTTGTTAAAACAACAACACAAACGAAAGTAGTAAAATTACACTTTGAATATATGACACCAAAACAGATTGCAGTCAAAATGTAAAAGTCTAAGCGTAAACAAACATACATGTCGGATGGAATCATTCACAGCTCCATTCTTCATTCATAGTAAAATATGGTTCGTCTTCAGTGTAGTCTCTTATCCTTATTTCATGACAGTGCTCACTTTTGTAGAAGTTGTTATAATTCCTGGTTCTCTGCTCTCATCAAGTTGGTATTTTTTATTTAAAATCTGGTTGATATAAGCTAAAAAAACAAAACAGTTAGCAGTAGTGCTAATTTTTTACCTCAATTCCATTTATAGTTGATTTATAAAAAAAAAACCAATTATTTATGATTTTATTATACATCTGTACAACAGGCTTATCAGATATAACTAATAATTCACTTTCCCAAAATCATTTCCATGTCAACAGCTTACTTACCGTTATCAAACATGAGGTGCAATTTTAACAAAGATTTCCAGATCTATTGATATATTGTGAATTTTCTTCCGTACAAAAAGGTTATACACTACATTTTCTCGTTACGAGTGTTGTTGAAATATAATACTTATCTAGAATAAAAAAATAAACCAAAACACATTTTGTCCCAGGTGAAATGAAATGTTAATTGTTCTTGAAGATATTACTATCAGAACTAGATGATCATTTAAGTTAAAAACAACTAGAAGATAATTTTTCATTGGTTAAAATTTACATCACCGCATTGTTAAAAGGTATTTAAAACCTTTTCATCGTTGACTTATTTTTTTATGTTTATTATTATCTAGAAGATTATTCCCATGTCGGTGGTGATGCATACGGACCTGATTACAGTTCAGGGCCTATATTTGACCATAGTTATTACAGTAGCCATCATGGATTCAGAATAAGACATCATAGATTTTCATATAACGGAATTGGTGAGGGAATTTGAAATACTTTTTTAAGTGGATAACGCCAATGACAGGCTGATAATCATAGCAAACACTCTATTGTATAATGTTATAACAATCAACCGCTTGCTATCTATAGAATGCATGGCTGTCTACTTGTAAACAAGGAAAAAAAAGACATTTGCTAAAGTAAGAATAACATTATGATATAAATTGCTTATAATTCATATATCTAATTTCATAGAAGATACTTGTCAAAGCATTTATTTTTTCAGTATTTATTTTATGTATATTAACAGGAGAGTAATCTTATGTAGTATTTTAGTTAACTAATGTTCGTTGATGCATTTTAAGAATTTAACACACTAGACAAAAGATAAATTTTACTTGCAGCATACAAACTGAAATGTAGTAGAAGCCGGTTCTATAGACTATGGGGTCAATGCTATCATCGTTATCATAGTGTGGGGACCTGCTTTGGACGACTAAGAAGTCATCATCTTTTCTATAGATACATTGGAGGTATATCTTTCAAATTTTATTTTGTTATGTGTTGCTCATGAACTTCATCAAATACACATTAAACTCTCTTTTTTGAATTACTGCGCACTTTTTAATATTTATGTTTTCATTTTAAAATGTACCTTTCGAAGAAGAAAGTAACGACTATACCACTGATGCTATCGATTATAATTGAATATCTTAGATTGTTTAAACTGATATCACAAGCAATTTATGTATTTGATATTTATGATTACTTAATTTTGAAATCAACTTTAAAAAGAGTTATTTATATTCGGTTTTTTTTCTACAAAACATTTTTTTTTAGGAATTTTTGGTCTTTAATGCTGTTCAACTTCGTACTTTATTTAGCCTTTAGACTTTTTTTGATACAAGTGTAACTGATGGGTCTTTTGTAGACGAAACGCACTTCTGGCGTACAAAATTTCAATCCTTGTATCTATGATGAGTTTATGTATACAGAGATAACACTCCAAACGAGTTCAATATGCAATATATGACTAGTTTAACAGTTATTTTTTTATCATTTTACAGACCATCATGCTATTCTGAACAAGCACCTGTATCTTCACAAAAAAATTGCTGATAACCATGCAAGAAGAATCCATAATGTAGCCAAGAGTCATGTCGCGAGAATATCTCACGTATCAAACAAACATGTTCGAAACATTCAATACCAGGCTAACAAACACGTGAGCAGAATTGCAAACGAGGCTAGAAGTCATATGAATAGATTTAAACAACTCGTAGATTACCATCTTAAACGACTCCACAAACACACAAAATATCATTTGTCAGCTGCTCAACATCAACATAAGAAGCATTTGAATGAACGCCAGTATCAGAACAACAAGCATGAGTTAAACGTGAGACGTCTCCATAAGAAACACGAATATAATCTCAAGAAACATGGTTATGCTTATGGTCATGGCCACGGTCACGGTCACGGTCACGGTCACGGGCATGTAGTAAGTTACCAAGATTACTACAGTAAATATCATGGATTTAAACTGGATCATCACAGATTTTCATATGGTGGCAAAGGTAAGATGAAATGTACTTGAATAGTTTATTTGGCTCAACGCTATTAAAGTCCACGAGAATGATTACTAAGACATGCCCACAAATACAATACCAATATATCATTCTCAATATAAGCAAGTCTAAATTGAAGACAACGTTCAAACTTATGATTGCGTTGGATGAAAACCGCAATTTTTATACGTGTGCTTGCAAAAAAAAATTCTTGATAGAGGGGTCTAAATACAGCACAAACAACATTTTCCAAAAGACCTGAAAAGTTAAAAAGTATATTAAGTATATTCAGTTTCTTCACATGACAGGTTAAGATTTTATCAGGTGTAAATTGGTGGATTACGTAAGATAACATTCAGTATAAAATGTAATCAAGAAAATGATAAATGCTTAATGGTAGCTTACTACATTTAATGGGGCATACTTAATTGAAAAATCAGCGAATCTAAGATATAAATTGAATTGTAAGGGAATGGGCAGACTGTTCAAGTCCAATAACTCTAGATACGAAATATAAAAAATGGAGATAAAGTACGTTTACAAACTGCGTTAAAATAAAATTCTTTGTGAAAAGTAAATTGTATATTTATCATAAACATAACTATTCGTGGGTACAGAAAATACGATATTCACATCTTTCGTTTTCCTCTAACTTGTATACCTATTTTATATCTCAAATGAACGTTTTCAAACGATGTTTTTCAATGTTCATAATATCCATATATTTTGACTGAAACATCATTTAAAGCCCTGCACATGTACACTTAGTCTAGAGTAGATGACAGCAATACTATAATGAAAAAAGAGACATATGTATAAATTAATATTCTTGTTATGACTATATAGAACGCATTTAATTTCTAAGTAATTGAATTGAAGAACCCTATACCAAGTAAACAGGAAAACAATTCGAACAGTCAATATGTATCGAAGTAGTATCAAGTCTTTTACTCATCATTTACAGTTTCATACTTTAAAACTTATAAGAATATGTTGTATGAAATTTATTTATAGCATACCAACTGACATGTGGAGATAGCCGATTCTATAATTATTGGAGTGATTGCTGGTCTCATCATCATAGTAGAAGCGTCTGCTTTGGACAACTTAGGAAAAGGCACCTGTTTGATGTATACTCAGACGGTAAAATACATTATATTAGCATATTATAAACATATTATAGTTAATACACATTCACAGAATTAACGGAAAGAGTTGATTAAACATTCGCCCACATATAGTGTATAGGATTTGTTTGGGGGGAATAACCTGTTTTCATGTATGATTTTGTTTAAATATTTTAGCCAGTTTTTTCTCTTGTGTTATTGACTAAAAAATAAAAGTGCTGAAGGGCTGATGTTCCTCCAACATATACCTGCTGTTTCCGAAACCTAAACTTTTTAGTGTAGGATATAGATTTTCATAAGTTTTTATTTGCTTCGAACTATCTTTAAGTAACTGCGATTACTCTGAGACCCGTACTTTGTGTTTTTTGTGTTACTATCGATCTGATGAATGAATCCCTTTTTCAACTGATTTTTATAGTTTTGTCTTTTGTTGTACTGTTTCACCCCTGTCCCATGTTAGGTGGAGGTTTTGGCGCCAGCAAATACGTTAAACCCAACCACATTCTGTGTTTGCCTGTCCCAAATCAAGAGCCTGTTATTCAGCGGTTGTCGTTTATTGCTGTACATCATATTTGTTCTTCGTTTATTGTTTCGGGGCCTAATTATTGCAAGAAGGACAAATTATAGAAAAATGTTTGGGTATGCTGGAAAGTAATTCTTTTTGAAGACAAGACGCGAGTTTAGTCAAATCATATTATAAAAAGTTCAAATGCATGCATATAGCTTTTTTTGAAATGGGAATCATTTCTCATCAATTCCACTGTTTGAAACTTATAATTTTTACACAAACATTGCCTGATTTTTTCAATTTAAAAACATAAGGAACACAAATTATAATATCGCATTTTAGGAAAAAAGTGCGTGCTTTGCCAATAACAGAAATGTTACAGTAGTTGATAATTGTACATAATGTGTTATCACTTTTGCAATTATTTTGCTTTTACAATTAGGATATGATGAAGAGGACGATTACGAACCAGCAGTCAAACAATCAGCATACTAATGTAAGATATTTATTATGTTTAACACAGTGCCAAATACAATAAATCTACATTCATACCAATCAGAATTCTTTCAAATTTTATACATATTATAGAAGAGAGGAGATTGATACCTAAGGGATAACGCATTTCCCTTTGATATTATAGATTATTTAAAACAAAAACATTTAAAAGTTTTTTACCCTCTGATATTATAGATAATTTAAAACAATTTTAATTATTTTTTTCCTTTTAAACCACCGACCCCTATGCACCCAACATGGCAGAAATGACGTATATAATATCATTTCTTTCCGTCAAAATGATTTTCTTTGTAAACAAATGCTATACAGAATAAGTCGTATTAAGCTGTTCTATGTTTCTTTTGGATCATTTTAAAACTCAGAGGAGAAAACCCTCTACATTCTGATAAATCAATTAGAAAATGTATACAGGGAAGACAAGTCCCAATCAAACGTTAAATGGATAACATAGATATATTTATGATTTATCTTAATACAACTTGTAAAAAGGTATATATATATATATTAAAGATAAACATATGATTGAATAATATGCCTTAATAATGAAGTATTTTTCCGCAAACGTGATACAAGATGATGAAAATAACACAGGAGTACATCTAACGCCATCATGAGCAAATCAAATAGCAGAACTATACAGGTCTCTTGGAGCCTTGAGTCCTTCTCTGACACTAATTGTTTTTATGTTACTTGTATGTTATTAGAATTATCATATGATCGAAATTTCTACTTTCGAGGTTTTGATGCGAATTTTTATTACTTATCATAAACCATACACAATAACAATTTTGGGAAGTACGAATGATATGCCTCTGAGACCAGTATCGTTATCGGTATTAAAAGTTAATATATACTTAAGAAGTAAAATGTGAACTGTTTGCAATGTAATTGAATTGATATTCTTTCTTTTTTTTATTGTAGGAATACCTCAATATTGTTTATGGACTTTTGAAATAAAATAACTAAATATTTAATGATTAACTTCGTTTCTGTTTTATTCATTTTAAGCCTTTGGGCTAGAAAATATGCAATGAACTCAATACCTAAAAAATATAAAACCGAAATGCCTGAACCACTGATATAAACTGGGAAACGTAGTGGACCATTTAAAAATGACCACCATATTCTTGACTTTCGACAATCAACAATTAAGAAAGGATTTGAAAAAGATTCAGACTGACTTTTAATTTACAACTTGTGCAAAAGTGATTTAAAGTATAAATTTGTCTTTGATTTAAAGTTAAGACATTAAACACAAAAAGTCACGAGGTTAATATTTCAATTCCGTATTGATTTCGTGTTTAAACTGATTTTAATCTAATGTTCATATTGAGTCTTATGGGATGGATACTTATCAGAGACTAGAGGATTATTACTATAAGTAATTGTACGACTTTAAATGAAGAAACCTATACCGTAAAGCCAGCAATAAAAGGTTCCAAAAATGTTCAAAGAAATCAAACCAATGACCTGATTTATACTCAAACAATGAACGAAACACAAATATGCCAGAAAGCCATTAGATTACAGGCTCCTGACTTGGAACAGGCAAATAAAGAATATGACGGGGTTAAACATATTTGTGAGCGCTCAACCTACACCCCCTTTTACCTCGTTAAAATGACGAAAAGATAAACAACAGTCAACAAACAATATAGAAAAGATTGAGCTGGGTTGATGTGAGGTTCTCTGAATGATCCTGGCACCCTTTATGTTGCTCAGAACTGCACAACATAAGAATGAATGAACTATAAAACTCAGTTAGAAAATGGTTAATTCACCACATCGACAAGACGTAAAAAAAATGAAAACATTCCTTTCTTACAGTACTCGCAGTAACTCAAAGATTGTTTAAAGTAAATTACAACTAAGAATAGTTATCAAAGGTACCAGGATTATCATTTAATACGCCAGACGACCGTTTCGTCTTCATAAGACTCATCAGTGACGCTCAGATCGAAATAGTTATAAAGCCAAACAAGTACAAAGTTGAAGAGCATTGAGGACCCAAAATTCCAAAAAGTTGTGCCAAATACGGCTAAGGTAATCTAATCCTGGGATAAGAAAATCCTTAGTTTTCCGAAAAATTCAAAATTTTGTAACAGATAATTTATATAAATGACCATATAATTGATATTCATGTCAACACCGAAGTGCTGACTACTGGGCTGGTGATACCCTCGGGGACGAAACGTCCACCAGCAGCGGCATCTACCCAGTGGTGTAAATAGTTATCAAAGGTACCAGGATTATAATTTAATACGCCAGACGCGCATTTTGTCTACATACGACTCATCAGTGACGCTCAGACCAAAATAGTTATAAAGCCAAACAAGTACAAAGTTGAAGAGAAAGTATGATTTCTTTATGAAAGCAAAAACACATTCAACATATTTAGTGTATAGGCGTCATTAGCAGAATAAGAAAAGTGTGCCTTTGCGAAATTCTTAAAACGTATCGACAGGGTATAGAACATTAATTGTTCATAACTGTAAAGCAATCATTTAGTTATGTTTTAATTTATTGAAAATGAAAACAATGTGAGTACCAATAAAGCCAATATTCAAAGATCTTACAGCAGTGTTGAATGCAAAATCCATATACCAAGACAGGAATAGGACAATTGTTTTCCACTGGTTCCGTTTGTTGACAACATTGGATTTTGTCAGTTACAAAACTTCTCCTTTTGAATTTGCCTTGGAGTTCGGTATTTTTGTTATATTTTTTTTGTAACCTCTAAGAATAAGTTTATTCAAAGGACCCGTAAGTTAACATAGATCTTACATCAACTACTTCTTCCTGAACATGCATGAAATATTTGCCACTGGACGTTAAGCAACCAATATTCAATCAATACATCAACTTCTTGTTTAAGAAACAATATCAATCACCGTAAAAATTCGAATGAGATATTCCGTTTGTTATACGATTTTAACATTTACAGTCAAACACCCAAACATTCAAACCACATTATTGTTTCTATGTTAGAATTTATTAAAGGTTTTGAGTAGTTTGTGGTTACTCACGTACTTAAACATGTACCAGTTTTAAATAGATAACAATCGTCGCCTGTAAAGTCACAGGCTATGCAAACGGAATGTGAATTAGACACATCGGCAGAAGGGGTCAAAAGAACATCAACAGTACAAACAAGGAACAATCACGAATTTCTGAAGCGATGATAACTAAATCTAGTAGTCAGGAAGAAATTGACTCATTACAAATGAAATACAATTCTACAATGGCAATTTAGACTGCAAAAATTTATTGACGATACAAAAACCTTATCAAAGTTACAAAGATAATAATTGTGTATGCCCTTATCGAAACAGTTTGAAAGCCAAATCAAACAAAAAACTTAAACAGAATGAAACAGAAATAATGCAAATGTGTCCAATTTACGGTTATGGCAATCAATGCTTAGAGATTGAAAACCTTAGTGTTTCGAAAAATTTATTTCATAGCTTTGTAGATATACAAAAAATGAACACATCAAACATCTTTCATGTCCTTCACAAAACGATTTACTAAAGGGCTGGTGATACACTCGGAGACGAAACACTCACCAACATTAGCACCGACACAGTGGTAATAACAGCTCATCAAGGATACCAGGTTCAACCCACCATTTTTCTTAAATGTCCTGTACCAAGTCAGGAATATGGCAATTGTTATCACATAGTCCGTTTTTATGTATGTTGGCGTTTGTTTTTGTAGCAGTTCAGTGTTTCTCTTGTTCCGTTTTGTTTCCTCTTATAGTTGATGTGTTTCCCTCAGTTTTGGTTTGTGACCCGAATTTGTTTCAGTTAAATCGATTTATGACTATTGAACAGCGGTATACTACTATTGCCTTTGTTAATGATTTGGAATACCTTTCCAGACGCTCATGTCGTCTAAACAAGACGCATCAGTGGCGTTCTAATCAAAAGAGAGAAATTAAAACGGATGATACAAACACAAACTTAAAATACAGCTTACGTTGACCGTTATAGAACAACCGTTTCACAGATGATATCGGATATGTTCCTTATGTCATAGCTACAATACCCTTCCCTTTTCACGAATGTGACCTACCGAATTAAACTATTTACCCGCTTTGTAATAACATAAGCAACACGACGGGTGCCACATGTGGAGCAGGATCTGCTTACCCTTCCGGAGCACCTGAGATCACCCCAGTTTTTGGTGGGGTTCGTGTTGCGTAGTCTTTAGTTTTCTATGTTGTGTCATGTGTACTATTATTTGTCTGTTTGTCTTTTTATTTTTGGCCATGGCGTTGTCAGTTTGTTTTCGATCTATGAGTTTGACTGTCCCTCTGGTATCTTTTGTCCCTCTTTTAAGGATGTTCGCTCCTTTTGTTTTCATTTTCTTGTCAGATTTTCGGAATCCTTTGGATTCTTATCCATGTAGTGCCATTAAAAATATATGCCCGCTAACTCCTACTTTTCTTTTCACAATTTTGTTACATATAGTTTTAAAAGCCATATTTGAAAATCTTGTAAAATCCTTGTTATTTTTTTATTGTTTTTGAATGAAAAAGGTGCCCATGTTAAATGTGTGAAAGATCTAGAAAAAATCATTTCCCGCCAAATTTTCACTGGCTTATATCTCGAAAACAAGCACACGGACCCTTCATTTTTTTTTTCTTCTTTTTTAGTTCCTTCATTTATAGACTATCAATTTATAACAGTCTTAAAACGCTTGTTATTTTGAAATAGAGTATCGAACATCCTTAATATTTACTGTTTCCTTTTTATGACATATCTCTTTTGATGAAACACATTAAATTGTGGTACGCTATTTAATCTCAGCCTGTAATTAATAGGTAAAGGAGAGTCGAAATATATCAACGGGGTTTTCATAAGTCAAAGTCAAACTGACAACGCGTTGGCAAGAAAACGAAAAATGACGAAAATATAAACAACAGTCTACAAACAACATAGAAAAAATTTAGCAACACGAACCCTTTCATAAAACCTGAGTTGATGTCAGGTTCTCTGAAATGACCCCAGCACCCTTTATGTTATTCAGAAAAAAAGTACATTTTTACCTATTTCTAGCTCACTTGGCTTGAAGGGCAAATTTAGCTTTTCTCATCCCTTGCTGTCGTCTGTAAATATTTGCAAAAGTCTTGTGCTATGAAATTACTGGACCAATTGGAACAAAAAGTTATCATCGTTAAGATATCTATTTAAAAATTGGTTCAGAAATCCGCCTTCCGACAAACATTGCTAAGTTATACAAGCTAAGCACAAGTTTTGTCGTTTTCCTTATATACCGATGAAACACATTTTCAGGGACATATATTAATAGAATGTTCAGTTCTAGCTACTGTTTTTTTAATGAAAACATTCAGACTACTCCTTATAGGAATTGTTGTCCTTAAAAACTGTTTTACCAATTTCTGCAATTTGGCTATAATCTCGAAATGTATAATAAAGAAAAAAAGTATAGCAAAAGTATTTGCAGGACGAGACCTTCAAAAAAGTCAAATAGCCGGAAATGTCAGTCGACTTTTAATAAAAGGTATTGCCTTTAACTAATTGTTTCCCGGTGTTTGCAACTGTTTGCTGTTATCTTGAGAACTAAAACAGATAGCGATAGAATACAATGGTTAAAATGATCAGCAGGATACGATCGACAAAATGATAAATATGACAAAACTCGACAGCTGACTCCTGGTAGGATGTTTTGCCCTTGAATATCGAATTTCGCCCATTTCTGTGGTTTTGTGGAATCTATAGCAGAAAGAGCAGGACAAGATTATGGCTTCAGTAAAAAGTACAAATGCATTAAATGCATAATATATGACTGACACCTATGATATCAATAAGATTTATACAAGATATGTATATCTTATATAATCTTAAGTTTTGTAACACATCATTTCTGACTTTTAATTATTCAGAACTAAGAAGAAAACATTTTTAGTATTTGCTTTGGCCCACTGCTGAATAAGATTTGATTTTGGTTTTTTGCTTGAAATAATATTCTAATTTAATTATTTCAATTTTATGCACAAAATAAAAGAAAAAAAAACAACAACAAAAAAAAAAAAAACACGTGAGCCATACAACATCCTAGGAGCCTTGAGTTTTGCTAATTTTTTATTTTTGTCTTAACCCCGAAACTTAAAATAAAAATGGACAGAAACTAATTTACCAAATCTAAGTTATTTGCATTATTATATGTAGCTAGTAGTAGGTGGAAAATTTTATAGCAAAAATTACCAATAAGATAAATTAATCAACATGGTTAAAATTGTCTATTGACTGTGTGTAGGCGTTTTTGCCCTCAAAAGACGACAGTTATTCTTTTTTTTTATCAAATTAATGACAGGTTATGTTGACAAACTATAGATGACAGAGAGAAAATTTATACATCAAAATCAATCAGCTATATAAGATCTACAGACATGTCAACATGACCGCAATTACTTGATCATTCAACGACTGATTGCTCTTCAGTGACAGTTGTTTGCGAATTTTGTATTTTTATCAATAATGTTAGCATTGCTATTGCAAGCAATAGCGGATGATGGCACCCCGAACTGGACATTGCAACAGTAACATTAAATATTTTGAATATACCAAAGTCAAATGGCACATCTATACATGCTAGACTTTCATGCATTTGAATCTCCCCTATTTTTTTCATCTCGTAGAACAAAATGTAATTATCCCGTAAATTTTGAAATCTATAAATAGTTTGGAAAATCTGTTGAATTTAAAATTATACCCGAGCGCGAGATAGAATGTGGCGTCACGTGATGCTCGAATATGTTATCATAGACCTAGCACTTTAATATCAGTTTAGAGGGGAATTTTGAACAGAAAACATGTGTATACATTGACGTAGTAGCATACTAACTGTTCATTCTTTATTAGTTAATGGATGGTTGATCGCAAATCACACGATACATGCATTTCATATGTATTTTATTCTGTACAATGTTATAACACGTTTATCGATTAATTTCAGCTAATGTATATATTTTAGCAGGTTTTTGAATGTGAAAGTGCAGAAATGTCACTAATATTTTCTCTTTTAGTTCCCTTTTTAGGTCAGAACATCAAGCGGGACGCACGTGTTTATTCATTGTTAATCGATTCAGTTTTCATTCTTTTAAAGTACATTGGTTACGATTCTCGTTTCCAAGCACGATTTTTGCATAGAGCAAAAGGATGTTTAATGGATTTTTTTTCTTCTAATAGAAAAACAAAGAATATGGGGTATACATCCAATAGACCGGAACATGCACAGTAAAAAACACACAAAAAGCATAGGTAGATCGCTTTTAATGCTGTTCTTCGTCTTAAAGTCCCATTGAGGCCTTCAACACGGAGCAGAAAAATTCTCACCTCACTGCAAGTTTAAAACTGCCGCTAGCGACGGCTTGGGCGGAATTCTTTGCAAAAATAATTTGGATAGACTTTGTATGATGTAACACCATCAAATTGGGCTGGTAAAAAAAAAACATACTGGAAAGAAGTACAGATTTAAAATAAAACAGTTCCTACGCATAGGTGAAAAAATAAAACTATGTAGAATATATTTTAGTTATTAAGGTATCAAGTAAAAGGTGAAGGACTGGTGATCCTTGTAGATCACATATTGACTGATAATTGTGAATAATACAAAAATGTATGAAAGAATTCTAAAATTGAGGGCACATATTGCCTGTTTCTAAGATATGAAGTACCTGGTTTGGTGTATCCAACATTCGGATAACCAGTACGGTCTGGTGTATAAATAACGTATATTGATCCCGCCCCCATAAAATGTTTGGAAGGGATATTCTAGAAGAAGTTAGCAGTACAGATTTGTATTTGATCGTATGCACATACACTTAATTACAGAACTTAAACTCACATTGACGATGTATTTTTATGCATTTTCAGTTTTTCCCATTGTTGCTGTTTTAATGGCAACGACAGCCATTTGAAAATTTTAAAGATAGATAACATTTCAATAAAATTTAACCGGGTTTGATCTTGAAACTTGTAAGAAACTGTTTCTTTAACTTTTTCTCCCATATGGTTCAATACTGCACTTTTAGTCATATCTACATAGTAACAGCAGCAATCTTGACAATTTGAAACGGCAAATAATTCTACAGTTTATACCCTGAATTCAGAGGGCAGGTTTTGGGGTCGTATCTCTAACGGTTGATAAAGTATGAATGACTTAAGGATTTATTGTCATTTTCTCACATTTGGATTGTTTCTATGGCAATGATGGCCATTTTGAAAGTTATAAAGATGGATGGCACACCTTCGAATGACGAGTTATATTATCTGAAAGTTTCATCAAATTTGGAACACTTTTCAATTTTTCTAATTTTTGGCGTTCCCATGGTAACGACGGCCATCTTGGAATTCAAAACCTTAAGTGAACATCTGCACATAGGTCTCATTAAGGTGCATATTTATCAATGAGAATAAAAGCATCAAATAAGCTAAGAGAACTGAATTGGAAATCGACTCCTTATATCAGTTATTGTCCTTAAATCATAATTTTATCTCTTTTTGCAGTGTGGCTATCACCTTGAGAACTAAAATAGATAGAGATACACTTTCTGAAAAACAGATCAACGAAATAAGAATTGAAATACGTTGATATAACTTAAATTGTAAATGAAAATTTTAATAGGCGAAGAGAAGCAGTGAACAGCTGAAATGAGTAACAAGATAAGCATTAACCAAAGGGTTAACATTACTGAAATATATTTAGCACTTATTGCAAGAAAAGAACTTTTGAGATTTGTAAACATCTTTAAAACTATAAGATAAAATTTACATAAAAAACGTGAATTTTGCAGAACACACAATGTATTTTTTTTTTACTTTTTACTTATCTACAGAATAAAACCATAGCAATTGAGCAGAGTCAGAGTAGTTTTACAATCTTCACAAGGACCTCTTTATATTTTGTGATGGTAATAATGAATGCTCAATGAAATAAATATATGATGGTCTCTAGAACTGAAGATCAATAATACTGCCCAAGACATGCTGAAAATAAATTTACAGCACTTTAAAATTCAATGAAGCCACATACGATTTGAAATAGGAAAAATTTTTTGTTCACAATGCAAATTTTTATTCCCGACGAAAAACAAAATGAAATAAGTAATCTAGTCTTATAACGGATGACAACGATGTTTCTGTCCACGTAAAACCTAGTGCTTAACCCCAACAAAAGAAATTAATAGATCGTCTTCATAGCAATTTTTTCTTCTCGTTTCCTTCTTGTAGATTTAAAGGACCTGTCTTATAAATAACATTTAGATTATTTTTTCAATCTTGAAATTGAATTTGACCATTATCAATTATTCTGGAATATACATGTGTACAATCAGTTCAGTGAAATTCAACAACATGGTACATGCATTGTGTGTTTTTTTAAATAACTTATTCAAAGAAAAACTGCGTGTTTGATAGGCACTTTTTAGATATATATGAATGGTTAAAATGTAAAAGGCACTTTTTCACCATAACTGAATCGTTGCTAAGGACTTATGTAATGACATTCATCCCAGACCTTTAATCTATGGTCTTGTTAAAAGTCCATATAAGCATTTTTGACATAACCTTGACTTCATAATATTAACCTTTCAACAAAATAAATGTCCTGAACGTTTTACGATGTATAATATGCCTCTTTCATTGTCTTTTTTTTTAAATTCTAATTAATATACCAACGGTTAAAGGTCAGGAAATCAATGACCTTTGATCTAGGGTCAAATTGAAGGTCATCTTGTGCTAAATAGTTTTCACATCATCGTCATTCAATAAATATTACTTATTGGGTTATCTCCATAACATAATCTTTCTAATGAAAAAAGAAAAAAATGACATTTACATAGCAATAGTCATAAATTCGGAATCTCAAACAATTTATTGTAAGTAAATTACAAGAAATATTGATACTTTCTATTCATAACATCAATTTAAAAGTAGGTGGATGCAAAAAAGTATAACTTACCCATGCAATAATTTGCCTTCACAAAAAACAATTAAAAATATCCTATGCTCCTTCGGTTGTGACCATATTCAGCAAAATAATTATATATATGGCATTGCTGTATTTTTGTTAAGCATAATGTTTCTGAAAAATGTATATAAATATCATTAAATGAAATCTGATTTTTCTTCAGATTGTCTGCAAATTAGTTGATTGTTCAATGCTGAATCCCAAACATTTTACTGGGAAACCTGTCGACTTGGTTGCCATGGCTACCGTGGCCTAGCAATATTTTTGGTGGCATTTTCATGACTTTTTCCGCTGATTATATGAGAAGGTTAAGTGTTAGGAAAATCATTGACTATGCGCGCCGATCCCCCCATATAAAATGGTTGGTTATTACAGAAAATTGGTCTTAATGAATCGGAAACATACTTTGATTTAGTTTCTGAGGAGGAAAAACAACACAGGATCAGACTTTATACGACATGTTAACATTAATCAAGAAAACAATACAAATCTGTTTATTGTAATCAAATATTAAAGATGCAACATATGGTTCCTTCCGAATAGTATATAAGAAAGTTCTTTGACTGATGAAAGTACATCCGTCAAAATGGCTTGTGGGATACTAGTCCTTCTCATTGCTGCGATTGCTGCATGTAAGTATCCATCAGTTTTACTTTGATAACTTTATTTGGAAAAAGTTTTCGTCTGAATAGCTGAGCATGACTTTAAAACTTTACTAGTTTCTAACAATAGATTCGACTGATTTGTATGTTACTAGTAATACAAATTATTATAAAACAAAAAACTTAAAAGAAAGAGAAAAAAAGTTGAGTAGGGTAAGTGCGAAAGAACGTTGTGGAAAAAAAACAGCAGATCGTTTAGTTATAAAATGTCAAAAACATTTTTTGCTGAAAAATCATTTATTATCATCTATGCTTTCATTAACTTAAGAGTCATGCAAATAAAATGTTTGTATTTTTCTTTAAATGGTATATAAAATCATTGAATTAGCTCATTGTTCGATTTGGAAACAGAATTGATGGAAAAATTGAACTAATGTAATTTTGGAGTGTAAAATCAAATTTATGGTTTAGATAATTTTTAACATGCATGGAATGAACTGTAATCATCTTTACTATTACATGTAACACATTTTCTTGTCTTATCACAATCAAATATTCTTTTGAAAAAAAGAATGCAAATATATGTCTTTGATTTTTTTATGAAATTCATTGTGTGACAAAAAGGGCATTTATTCTAAATAAGGTTACTGGAAACTGAAATAAGATGAATCAGTGATGCAAACTAAAAGATCGAGATGGGAAGGGGGTATGATTTTAAGTTTTCCAGTTTACAATTTTTTATTTCTGTTAATAAATAGTTTATATCAAATTTCAGCTACTAATGGGTATAGCAGTAATGGTTATTATCCTGATGGTAAAGACTCCTACAGCTACACACCTAAAGTAGTTAAATCTACTGCATATGCAAGCTCAAGCTCCTATCATGCGGGTTATGCTGGGCACAAACTTATTACTGGTATGACTATTAAATATATATATATATATATATATATATATAAGTTCCTAATTTGTACTTCTTATATTGAGTTGTATGGTTACAACCATGTCATTTGAACTCTGTTTGATAGTTATCTCATTGTCAATCATACCACACCTCTTTGATCATTTTTATATTAAGTTAAAGAATATCTGAAATGTATGATATCGGCAGATGATATTGTATACTAGTACATACATTCAATATAAAGTATTATCGTATGTGTTTTACCAAGTTTGGCGAAGAAATTCGACAATTTCCGAAGTTATGCTATAAATTATGTATACTCTTGTTATTTATTTAAGATTCAAGAAATAAACTTTTGTAAAGGTTGGCAACTTTATTACCAATCGAGTTGCTTGCTTAATAATCAACGAATGTCTGAAAAAAGACCAACATACGGGCGATGAACACGAGTTTAGCTATACTCATTATTATTTCAATGTATCGGTATATTATAACTCCTGCTTTACTATCGTATCTTACTTTCATATACCCTCACTCAGGTCCGTGATGTGTTACATTACAGTTTGAAAAATATCAAAACATATTTTGAATCAATGACAGTCATTTTATCAATCAAATATATCTTGAATTCCTAAGTTTTGTCTTTTTGAGTCCGCGATTACGATTAATACAAGAAACAAAGAACTTAAACCATCTAAAACAGATATTCATAAAACGCAAATTCTAATTCATTTGGCAAAAACTGAAAGTAAAACAACTAATACGTATATAGAATTCAATAAAATTGGTAAATATCTTTTGTTCATATACTGGTGTCTGTCTCATTTGCGTTTTCTTTATTTCGCCTTTTATTTCAAATTCATTATATCAAAGGTAACATTATCAGATTTTAACATATTTTCCAGTTTTATAGCAACACTAACATAAATATGGCTTATTCTACTTTTAGATTTAAGGGTTTTCAAAGAATATGAATAAGTGATAAAGAAATACTCATCATCTTTACCAAATTTATTACTGCATTTAACTATATCTAATGTAAAAATATTAACACAAATATGCATTTGTGTATTGTTGTTCTGTAAAATAAAGGTGTATACATAAACCAATGCGTATAGTGTTCAAAACAAAAATCACCTCTTTGCATACTGATTTTATTTTGAGCAAACTGTATTATCTGTATTGTAGTCTTTAATGTTTTGTCCATACAGTTATTAACGTGACAGTTCACTTTGATGTCGTCTTTGCAATCCGAGTTCAATCAATGTTAACATTTAATTTAGTTATGTTAGCTACAATAGAGAATAACAAAGCTTGCCTGTTTTTCCTGTTTTGTAATCTAGTTCGAATAAATATCATACTTTCCTGCATTGAACATAGATATTATATTTTGCTATTGTCTTGTACTTTTAGGACATGCCTACAGATTTAAAGTAGGACGCATATTCAATCGTTTCCACAGACTTGGTGTTGAACTTATCGGACGTGGAATCAAATATAATGGATTCTGTGAGTAATACTTTACGCCACGTTTAGACTCTTGTTTAAACACTTTTCTTTTCCGAGAAGATTGCATTATTTCTATTGAATTGAATGTGACAAATTTTGTATGAACTTTTCTAGTTATTAAAATAAAGCTACCAAAGTCCACAGGCAGTGTTAATTAAAAAGCAAGTAATTTCAAATGCAAGTTACATTTTTTATTCTGAATTGTACTCAATTACCAAAGAACAGATATGTTTTAGTGTCAAATATTGAATGAAAAATGAAAATAATGTACAAATAAAATAAGAAAATCTGTTCTGTACAGTATTAGTTATTTTCATTGTATAACTGCAAAGTTTTGTCTGTTATTCTTGTGTGTTTATTTTTATTTCTAAGAAAGTCTGAGCTGCGTTGAATGCTTACATGCATGCATTTAAAATTATATATCTTTTATTGCAGACTATGGACGTCTTTGCAGTGCGACACAACTGTACGGTGCACTAAATTCCTGTTATGAATCTTATGGTAATATCAGAGACTGTTTCCCTGGTTTGATTAAACAAGGATTGATTGGAAGACGCCATATTTACCACAAATATGGCCATGGATTTGGCTTAGGTGTCACCTTTGTAAAGAGAGGCATTGTTTATGGAAGATCATGTTAGTACAAATTAATTTTTTCAAATTGAATCATGTTTATCGAATGAGCAAATCAGAAAACGAAATCTGATAATGCTTCATCACATTTTATGTCTAGTTCTTGTACATATATGTTTGCATTTTACCAAAGTACAACATTTAAATACATTCATTTCAATTAAAAATAAGTGTACCCGCACTATATGAGAGATTTGAAACGAAATGAACTTAAACCATTCACAAAGTCTCGTGAGACGAGAGAAATGCAAATTATCCATTCACATTACATTACATCGGTTTCAATGTTTAAAAGTGTTCATTTCCTACAGAGTAACTGTCTGCAGCAATATGAAATTGATTAGACTTGATATCGATTAAAATGAAAATTATGCTGATTTTCTTAATACTTTTTGCATTTGTCCTCGAGTCAGTTGGACTAGGTAATCTCTGAATTGTAACTTTTATACACTGTAATATGTTAAATTTATTGTTAAGCATTTAATTTAACTATTGCTAATGGTGGAAGTTTCAAGCATTAACAAATTGTTGTATCTCTATACTATGGCTTATCAAACGGTATGCGTTTTGATAATTGTTGAAGGTCGTACGGTAACATATAGTTGTTAACAGTTTCGTCCTTTGGGTTCTGGTGGATAGTTGTTCCAATGGCATTCATAGCACATCTCTTTATTTTTATATTAGCTATCTTTTTCAGTTTACAAATTTGGGTGCCGTCGACCAAAGTTCATCCGTTATATGACTTCCTGCTACAATAAGTTCCATCATGCAAGCACGTGTGTGTCAGTGTTGAGAAAACGACATCTAATCAGAACACCTCATTCATATCATGGTCACATACATCTTGCTGGATACACACGTTTCCGCAGATTTAAGATTCGCCATGGGAGATTCAGATATGGAGGAAGATGTAAGTAATTTTTATTTAATGGAAAACAAACGAAAATTAACAATTCATCACACACAAAACAACAAATAAACTTATTAAAACACCACAACCGTATGAACATATACTGTTATATTCAAAATTAATGTTGACGATTAGTTATAGATATTGGCTTAATAATTTCAAAACAATGTAATGAACGCATACGAATGTTATATATTTATGTACGGTTTATAACACATTTATTGTTTATGTATGTTTTTTATATGTATGAAAAGAAATAAAGTGGGTTTTTTTTTAATATTCAAAAGAAAGGTGCCTGAATTTTTTCTGTAACTCTTATTTTACGCCAAAAAAAAAATTAAATGGGTGAAAAGTTGAGAACTAAATAGATGTTCAACGTTGATATGAAGTAATGTGTTTATCCCTCATTTATACAGATATTGAATATTGTGTTTTCGTATTTTCGTCCGTGGTAAACTTTGTATCACTCTTAAAAGATTTCTTGGCACCTTTGTAAAATTGATTGACAATTTGTCTAATCTTTAAGTAATATGAGGCTAGAACTCATCATAAGGGGGAGGTGACCGTCAGGCTTTCATAACACTCTCATTACCTCTAGCTAAAGTGGTTGGCAGATTGAAGCTGATTACCCTACTCCTTTGCCTTCATTTTACTTTGATTTTGTTGGTATGCATGTTGTTCAAAGGTTTCCTTTTCTCTCTAGTCTTCTGCGCTGTTTGTCTGTTATTTTGTTTTTTTTTTGTTTTTTTTTGTCATTTGTTTTTGTTCTGCTTATTATTTTTGTTGCCATCTTGGTATCTTTTTACTTTTGTGTCTATATTTGAAATAGATTACAAACTGAGCTGCAATAAAAGACGTTTCTATAGTTATTGGAACAGATGTTATGGCAGATACCATAGTGTTGGTAGATGCTTTGGATACCTAAGAAGAAAACATTTGTTTTCATATTATAATGGTAATTATGTACACATTAAGCACATACAAATTTAAAGTTTTAAGTCTAAGCAAACTTTGTATGTTTTTCAAGTTGTCCTTAAGTGAACATGACAATCCTCTTGATGTTATCTTTAGAACATATAGCTCCCAAACTATTTAAACATTATTAGCTTTCCATTAGTAATTTTTATCATATCAGTTTTAATAAAAATTGGTTTTTTTTTAAATTCGTAGAAAGTGCACCTTGTCAAGCCGTGATTGCCAAAACATAACATATTTTTATCAGGATAAAAGACAGCTTTTTAAAAAAAAAAAATGCATTGGCAAATTATTAATTCGTATAATTACTTCGAATATTATATGCGACAGTTAAGATTAGTTTATTTAACAATAGAGTAGTAGAATATTAAATGCTATCTTTTACAATCCATTTACTGTGGATTAATTAATTTTCGTGGGTATAAATTTTCGTTGATTGAGGAAAACTTGCATTTCCGTGGGTATTTGATTTCGTGGTGTTGTCAATCTCTGCATACACAGCCTATAGAAAATTTGTAATTCGTTGAACAGTTGAATTCGTGGTTAACATGTACCCACGAAACCCACGAAAATTGGTATCCAACGAATAATAATGAATCCACAGCAACTAATTATTTTGAAATTTCTGTTTACATATAAATAGCAGGTTACTCAAGTGTTGCTACCAATGCATACGGAGCTGGTTACAGTAGTGGAATTACATTTGACTATGGCTATTACAGAAGTCATCATGGATTTAGTATAAGAAATAATAGATTTACTTATGGCGGAATTGGTAAGGAAATCTTAAAATACTAACAGATTTTTATATACCTATATGGAGTTATTTCCTTTCAAAACGACCTGGACGACACCAAGTTTCAATGAAATGTGCTTTAAGGCATAACATAATGACCTGCGTCAGGTTATTATTTTCCCTGATTAAAATGCAAACTATAGATTACTAAAACATTTAATCTGTGTTGTTGCCAATTGGGTTTTATTGTCCCTTTTTTTCTTTAACACTTTTAATAACATTTTTACCACTTCTTAGATTGTGGTTAAACATCTATGTCGTCTGTCTGCTAAGTACCGAACGTGACCTATTCCCGAATATGACTGTTATACCGAATGTGAATTTGCATTGCTATACGACGTGTCTCGGTATTTTGTACATCCAAAATTCATGTATTTATTTTTAATGTTTCTGATATAGTTTCGGTTGGATAATGTGTTATGTCTTATCGTTTGTAGTCAAAATAATTATAAAATAGCTTTTCAATACCATCATTGTCATTAAAATTGTTTGGACTGGTATTGTGAAAACAATTGTATAAAGTTCGAGATTGCATGTTCGTTACGTAAGTGCGTCAATGTTTGTGATGTCCTGTGGTGTATGTCGTTGATAGAAGATTTTCGCTGTTGCTCTGCGGTTTGCATGTTGTGTCGACTGTTATATTATTTATTTGTTCGTTTCTCTGTGATGATTGTTTGTGCTGTCACGTTGTGTTGTCATTTTAGCGATATATTTTTTAACATTGCAATGTAAGCAGGAGGTTTGGCTAGCCATAAAAACAGGTTCAACCCACCATTTGTTCTTAAAATGTCCTGTTTTAAGTCAGGAATATGGCAGTTGTTATCAAATAGTTCGTTTCTATGTATGTTGGCGTTTGATTTTGTTGCACTTCAATGTTCCTGTTGTTCCTTTGTTTTCTTTTATAGTTGATGTGTTTCCCCGGATTTGTTATCTCTTAATCGATTTATGACTTTTGAACTCCGGTATACTACTGTTACCTTTATTTAGACAGTAATAATTCTTTAATCCGTGTATTAGGCTGGAACAAATACCCTTTTGTAATGATAAAATATTCCTATTTTCTACAGGGGAACAGCCACGTTCTTTAAAAAAGGTGGGGGAGAGGGGTATAATATTTCATCCTAATTCTCAATTTTTGAAGAAAAAAATGAATTGCCAGACAAAAGGGGAGAAAACAATTATTCTGAAAAGTTCGTTAAAATATGTTAAAAAAATAATCTGCTTTTCTGCGATTAAATTGTCATGAAACAAGAGAAATAACACAGCACGCCCTTTAAATACTAGTAGATTATATGATAATTACTTACAAAGTGACTTGCATTTTTGTACATCTTAACAACTCAGTTGCTTCTAGCTTCATGCAATTACTATATCATTTATATGGTAACTGGAGAGTGATTTGTAATGTATATACATGTATCTAAATTAATTTTTGAGTTTTATTTTACTCCGGTCGGTCTTTCATTTGATCAATCTTGACACCCTTCGGTGTGTTATACGACAACAAAAGCCTTAAAATATGGATTATCTATAACGTGTTTGAGTAAAGTAAAATACAGGAAGATAAGAATATTAAACACACTGATGGTTTAATGAATTAATGCACTACAATATTAATGAACAGCTGACACTAAATTTTTTACATTCCTATACAATTTCAATTTGAATGCTTTGATGGAAAAATAGTAAAAATTTGGTAATGTCCATGCCTATATGTACGAACACAATAACATGCTGTCGGTTATATCATTAATACTCGTTTTAGAAATTCAGAAGCATTCTGTTATACGCATCATGAAATGAAAATGAATTTGAATTACAGGATATAAACTGATGTGCGCAAGAAGCCGATTTTACAGACTATGGGGTCAATGCTATAACCGATACCACAGTGTAGGAAGCTGCTTTGGACGACTGAGACGACAACATCTATTCTATAAATACGGTGGAGGTAAACTATCAAATGACATTTTAAAACAAACATATATACATTTTTTTGCGATTCTAGTCCCTGGAGTTGTACGTCCTATAATTTTTAACAGGTTAGGTTTCAAAAAAACAAAATTTCCTTTCGTAAACTTTGTTAACATACAAGTTTGAAGTCTAAGTAAACTTTTAATGTTTTTCAAGTTGTCCTTAGATGAAAATGGTTATTCTCTTGATGTATCTTTAGAACATTTAGTTCCTTGATTATTTATACATCATTGTCTTCCTAATAGAGAATTTTATTAAATCTGTTTTAATTAAAATAAGAATTGTTTTTTTTTATTTTCAAATTCTTAAAAAGTACACATTGTCAAGCCGTAATTGCCAAAAATAATTTATTCTAATCAGAATAAAAGACAGATTTTTAAGAATTTAATGCATTGGCAAAGTATTTATTCGTATAATTACTTCGAATATTGTATAGTTTAAATTAGTTTACTTAACAAGAGAGTAGGGACATGTTGAATGATATCTTTTTCAATCCATTTAACTATATACTTTGCAATTTCTGTTTACATATAATTAGCAGGTTACTCAAGTGTTGCTATCAATGCATACGGACCTGGTTACAGCAGTGGAATTACATTTGACTATGGCTATTATAGAAGTCATCATGGGTTTAGTATAAGAAATAACAGATTTACATATGGCGGAATTGGTAAGGAATCTTAAAATACTAATAGATTTATATTTAAGTAAAGTCAAATACAGGATGATAAAAATAGTAAACACACTGGTGGTTGAATGAATATATGCATAACAAAGAACAGCTGACACTAAAATGTTTTCATCCCTTTACAATTTCAATTTGAATGCTTTGATGGAAAAATAGTCAAACATTGGTAATGCTCATGCCTATATGTACGAACAAAATAACATGCTGTTGATTATATCATTAAGACTCGTTTGAGAAATTCAGTAGCATTTTATTATAAGCATCATGAAATAAAAATGACTTTATATTAAGGATATAAACTGATGTGCGCAAGAAGCCGATTTTACAGACTATGGGGTCAATGCTATAACCGATACCACAGTGTAGGAAGCTGCTTTGGACGACTGAGACGGCAACATCTATTCTATAGATACGGTGAAGGTATACTGTCAAATGACATTTTAAAGCAAACATACATACATTTTTTGTGATTCTAGTCCCTGGAGTTGTACGTCCTATAATATTTAAAAGGTTATGTTTCAAAACAATTTCCTTTTGTAAACTTTGTTTACATATAAATTCAAAGTTTTTAAGTCTAAGTAAACTTTTAGTGTTTTTCAAGTTGTCTTTATTTGATCATGGCTATTCTCTCGCATTATGTTTAGAACTTTTAGCTCCCCAATTAATTATACATCATTGGCTTTCCAATAAAGATTTTTATTATATCTGTTTTAATAAAAAAGTATTTTGTTTTAAATTTGTAGAAAGTACACATTGGCCAGCCGTGATTGCCAAAATATAATATATTTTATTTATCAGGGTAAAAGACAGCTATTTAAGAATGTAATGCATTGGCAAAGTATTTATTCGTATAATTACTTCGAATAGTGTGTGTGACAGTGTAAATTAGTTTACTTAACAAGAGAGTAGTGAAATGTTGAATGAAATCTTTTTGAATCCATTTAACTATCTATTTTGCAATTTCTGTTTACATATTATTAACAGGTTACTCGAGTGTTGCTACCAATGCATACGGACCTGGTTACAGCAGTGGAATTACATTTGACTATGGCTATTACAGAAGTCATCATGGATTTAGTATAAGAAATAATAGATTTATATATGGCGGAATTGGTAAGGAAATCTTAAAGTATTGATAGATTTATGTTTGAGTAAAGTTAAATACAGGAAGATTGAATTAGTACAGCCCTTGGATGGTGTAAAGAGGTAGGGCCAATTTCCCCTGATTTTTTTTTCACAGAAGGGCCAATTTCAAAAAGTGCTGAAAGAATAAAATTTACGATAAAAACATGAAATAAAAATGTTTGTTGGTCCATATCTCGATTTTTATGTATTATGTTATGTCTGGAGAATAGTAAATTTAACCTCCAAAAAAAGGACGAAAGTCAAATATGCGGAATTTACGGTGTTTAAGGTTGGAAAAACAGGGAATCCCCCTAGAAGGACACTTCAAACCAAAACAAAGTTATGTGTTTGTTGTTGTTGTAATTTATACAACTTTTCCCCTCAAAAATGAAATTGGTTTAGTGTGTCCTTAATACCTTAAAAACAACTTCTTTAATAAAAAGTGGAACATCACTAAATTTTACCTATATAGCTGCTTAATAGCGACTATGTTTTCAAGAGTCGCCGTGGTTCCATCGGTAGCGTTTAAAACTGTAAATAATGGATTGTTTTTAATATGGGGTTCAAATCTCACGCTATTTTTTCTCATTTTTTATGTTGAAATATTAAAATGTTATGTTTCTATCACATTTTTTCGGATGTTTGTTTAATTCAAAAAGTCACACTGAAGTAGGTTCTTGTACATAAACAATAACACGAGAATTGATTATATAGCAATGAAGTCCAAATGTTGTGTGTGTTATACACATAGCGAAAAAAGGCCATAGCAGACAAATTTCAAAACAACAAAAACATTTTTTTCTAAAACTTGAACAAGAACGTTTTAGAAAATGGTATGATATGTAACAAATGCAGACAGTAATTTTATCGCTAATCCACCAACTGTGTAGATACTAGTATTGGCATTGTTACATTGTACCACCGTCCCTACACCGGAACCTAAGTCATCAGAAAATGAAACAACACCACAGAAAAAATCAATTACACTACCAATCGTGACTGTAGGTAACACATCAAGAAAGTGTTGAATCTGTATCACAACATAGGGTCGATCCATTTGGTACAATGCCATGCAAAAAAGACCAGATTACATGTGTTTGTTACGCAAGCCGTTCTAGTACCAACTGGTGTAAGCTGTTGTCCGGTTCATATAGACGGTAAACCTTAAAAGCTGGAACAGTGTATAGATATAGATACATCCAGATTGAGGAAAACAAAATCCCAGTTAAATGCGTCCGATATTTTTTGGCTTTTTGGCATTAAAACAGAGACCGATCTTGAATCAGATTAGCTGATTTATATCAGATAATTAGATTTTTAATGTTTCTTGTATTTATATTTAACCCCCTTTTTTAGGCGCCACTTAGGGGCATTCAGTTTTTCGGTCTGTGCGTCCGTTCGTTCGTTTGTCCGTCCGTCCGTCCGTCCCTTCGTTCGTTCGTCCGTCTGTCCCGTTTCAGGTTAAAGTTTTTGGTCAAGGTAGTTTTTGATGAAGTGGAAGTCCAACCAACTTGAAACTTAGTACACATGATCTCTATGATATGATCTTTCTCAGTTGAATGATAAATTACAGTTTTTATCCCAATTTCATGGTTCACTGAACATAGAAAATGATAGTACGAGTGGGGCATCCGTGTACTATGGACACATTCTTGTTTAATATTTTGTTAGTTTTAAGTTAAACAAAGCTGTGAAATACATGTACGCTACAAATCACCTACCAACATTAACACGCTAACTGAAGCACCATGTTTTTTTAATACAAAACTAATTTTGAATATGTATTAGTTGATAATTCATATCTTAATGCTCCTCAGACAAAATCAATATTGGTTTTGATAAACAAAAAAAATCAATAGTCTTGGCCTTGATTATTGTAGGAATACCTGTTCAAGGTATGAAAATAGATGATGTGACGTGTTTTCATATACTAGTAATATAATTAGTATCTATCGGGCTATTTAAAAACATGATTTACCTAGCTAGTCAAATGAAAAAAACTCACGGGAAAATGGCCCTACCTCTTTCCCCAAAAAACGTGTATGGTGTAATGGTGTATGGCATATGGCAATTGTGGAAGGTGTATGGTGCTATAATGTATGGTGTAAGGGGAATGGTGTAATGGTGTAATGTGCAATTGTTAATGATGTGAATGAATGGTGTACGACATTTAAAACTATGCAAAATAGTGATAAGAACTGATTTTAAATCTTATACATTAATTTACAATATTGTGATCAAAATTTGTTTTTTAAAACAAATAAATAATTTTGTAGTTGCACGCTTTCTTAGAAATTAAATTGCATTATGGTGTAACGTGTAAGGTGTATGGTGCAAAGGTGTAACGTGTATGGTGTAATAGCACAGGGTGTATGGTGTAATAGTGTATGGTGAATGGTGTAATGGTGTATGGTGTTAGTGGGAAGTTTACACCATCCAAGGACTGTAAACACTCTGGTGGTTTAATGAATAAATGCATGTCAATGAACAGCTGACACTTATAATTTTTACATTTCAATACAATTTCAATTTGAATGCTTCGATGGAAAAATAGTCAAATAGGCAACAGTAGTATACCGCTGTTCAATAGTCATAATCGATTAAGCGAAAACAAATCCGGGTTACAAACTAAAACTAAAGGAAACACATCAACTATAAGAGGAAAACAACGGAACAACAGAAACACTGAACTGCAACATAAACAAACGCCAACATACATAGAAAAGGACTATTTGATAACAAACGCCATATTCCTGACTTGGAACAGGACATTTTAAGAAAAAAATGGTGGGTTGAACCTGGTTTTATGGCTAGCCAAACCTCCCACTTATATGTCAATGCTAAAAATACCGCTAAAATGACAACATTACGTGACATGAATGCAGTACAAATAAATGCAAGAACACTCAAAACAGAAAAATACATAAATAAATGATATAATAGTACATTCCAAAATGTAAACCACTGAATAACAACGGACACATCCCATGAATTTGCGACAGTACACCAGTACACCACAAACGAAGTATAAACTGCGCGTCATACGAATGTATCAACGCCACAAAAAGTGACGTACTTGTGACGTTTGTATTATCAAAAGTAAATTTCTAAAAAAAGAATAGATTTGTTGTATTGTAGACATGTACAAGAATATAATTCGTTATCAAAGGTACCAGGCTTATAATTTGATACGCCAGACGCGCGTTTCTTTTGGGATTGAGTTTGTAATGGTGTTATTTTATGTATTTTCCAACCATGACAAGAATGCTAAAATGGAATTGTGTTTCTTATGGTGTTTTTATTTCTATTTTCTAACCATGTCGGTTTTTCGTATCAATCAAAACTGTGTATAAACAAAAACATTATGTCCATATAGTAGCTTTAAACTTAAATCATATTAATGAAATAGCTGATTTATTATCTTAACTTTTACATACATGTAAAAAATAAAAATAAAATAACTGTAATATAAGGCAATATGTATAAGAACAAACAGTAAACACACTTGAAAACAAACAACATGACACAAAAAACACTGTAACCAAACCACGAGTAACTCGACTATACTGACTAATAAGACATATGTGAAATTTCCAAAAATTGATAATGTTCATGCCTATATGTACGAACAAAATAACATGCTGTTGATTATATCATTAGGACTCGTTCGAGAAATTCGGTAGCTTTTTGTTATAACCATCATGAAATAAAAATGACTTTGAATCACAGGATATAAACTGATGTGCGCAAGAAGCCGATTTTACAGACTATGGGGCCAATGCTATAACCGATACCACAGTGTAGGAAGCTGCTTTGGACGACTGAGACGACAACATCTATTCTATAGATACGATGGAGGTATACTACCAAATGACATTTTAAAGCAAATATATTTAATTATTTTGTGATTCTAGTCCCTGGAAATATATGTCCTATAATATTTAAAAAGTAAGGTTTCAAAAAAACAAAAATTTCCTTTCGTGCATAAAGGTTATACATTACATTTGCTCATTACGAATGAAGTTGAAGTTTAAAAAACCAGGAATCAATAAATAAAAAACAAAAAAAAACAGTTTGTTCCTGGTTAAATGTAATTTAAATTGTTTTCAAAGATATTTCGATTTGAAATTGATGATGATTGAAAGTAAAAGGCAGCTTTAAGGTTCTTATTTATTTGTTGGTGTGTACATCAAAACAATATCAAAAGGTAAAAAACTTTTTCATCGTTAAGTTTAATTTTCTATGCTTATAATATCTAGACGATTACTTCCAAGTTGGCGGTAATGCATACGGAGTTGATTACAGTCCTGAGCCTATATTTGACCGTAGTTACTACAGTAGTCATCATGGATTCAGAATAAGACATCAAAGATTTTCATATAACGGAATTGGTGAGCGAATATAAAAATACATAATCATTTTTAAATGAAAGAAAAAACAATCGCGGGACGATAAAAATAGTTCCCATACTGATCGTTTGACGATATAGCACTGAACTGCTTCCCATTAAGAATATATGTTAATTTCCAGACAAAGAAAACAAAGACAGTCGCTAAAATATTGATAAAATGATAAAGTAAAAATTCTCATAATTCATTTATTGCATCATACAAGATACTTGCAGTCCATTTATTTAGAACAACTCTTTATGAATGTCTGATTTCATATTTTTCAGCATTTATTTCATGGCTATTAACCGGAGATTATTCTCATGCAGTATTTTTAGTTAATTAAGGCTCGTTAATACATTTTAAGAATTCAATACCCTAGAAAACTTGTTTTTAATTGCAGCATACAGACTGAAATGTAGTAGAAGTCGGTTCTATAGACTCTGGGGTCAATGCTATCATCGTTATCATAGTGTGGGGACCTGCTTTGGACGACTAAGAAGTCATCATCTCTTCTATAGATACCTTGGAGGTATATTTTTCAAACTGTATATCATGCTATATGACATTATATATATATGTTTTGTGTTGCTTATGAACTTATCAAATACACATTATACTTTCTTTTTTGATTTATTTTGCAATTTTTTTATTTATTTTTTTCATTTTTAAAATGTACTTTTTAATGGAGAAAATTACGACTAGACCATTGTTGCTATCAATTTTATAGAATATTATAGATTGCTCATATTGATATCCCCAGCAATTTCTGTATTTAATATAAAAGATTATATGATTTTCAAATCAACTATTAACAGGGTTATTTCTATTCGGTTTTTTTAAATTGATATTTTTGCATCAAAATAAAAATCGTTAACACTTTTATATACCATAACACGTCAAACGAGTTCAATATGCCATATATAACTAGAAGTAAAGTTATTTTCTTTATCATTTTACAGACCATCAGGCTATTCTGAACAAGCACCTGTATCTGCACAAGAAAATTGCTGATAACCATGTAAGAAGAATCCATAATGTAGCCAAGAGTCATGTCGCGAAAATATCACACGTATCGAACAAACATGTTCGAAACATTCAATTCCAGGCTAACAAACACGTAAGCAGAATTGCAAACGAGGCTAGAAGTCATATGAATAGATTTAAACAACTCGTAGATTACCATATTAGACGACTCCACAAACACACAAAATATCATTTGTCAGCTGCAGAACATCAACATAAGAAGCATTTGAATGAACGCCAGTATCAGAACAACAAGCATGAGTTAAACGTGAGACGTCTCCATAAGAAACATGAATATAATCTCAAGAAACATGGTTATGCTTATGGTCACAGTTTTTCATATGGTGGCAAAGGTAAAATCAAATATACCAAAATAAATCATTTGGCCCCAAACTATTAAAGCCAACACCAATTATTACTTACACAAGAGGTGGACAAAGACGCCAACAACTACAAACCTAAATTAGTTAAATTAAATGCATATTCAAGGTCAAGCTTCTATGTTTCTCACGGTCATGGCCATCAAGCGGGTTATGCTGGGCAAAAACTGATTACTGGTATGACTAACAGAGCTAATTATCTCGATCTACATCTAGAAAGTGATAATGAGGGTCGACTGATAACAAAACATTACGACAAAAGAGATGATTTCAGCTTTCAAATTGTGAACTCTCCATTTCTATGTAGCAACATTCCAGCAGCGCCTGCATATGGAGTATATATCTCCATTTGAAACACATATTCCAGGGCTTGTGTTTCTTAACATGATTTTCCTGATAGAGGGTAACTGCTCACAAGAAAGTTATAAAACCAAGAGATCCGAATGGTGAAGTTGAAATTATCCCTCTGAAAATTTTACGGACGCCATCACGAGTTGGTTAACCGTAATGGAATATCTGTTTCACAGATGACGACGAATATGTTCCAATCGTCGAAACCACAATCCCGCCCTCTTTTTTCCCGAATGTAACCTAGTGAATTAGACTTATCATCGAGGTTGTTCTTAAATGAGTAACACGAAGGGTTTCACATGTAGAGCAGGATCTCCTTACCCTTCTGGGACACCTGAGAACACCCTCTGTTTTTTGGTATTTCAGTATTGTCTGTATTTGAATCTCTAATTTATTGTCCATATAGTTATTAACGCCACAGTTCACTTTGATTTCGTCTTTGCAGTTCGAGTCCAAGCAATGCTAATATTTATTATAGTTGTGTTAGCTACTAAGGAGAATAACAAAGCTTACCTTTTTCCCTGTTTTGGAAGCTAGTTCGAATAAATATCATATTTTCCTGCTTTGAACATAGATCTTATTATATTTCCCTATTGTCTTGTACTTCTAGGACATGCCTACAGATTTAAAGTAGGACGCATATTCAATCGTTTCCACAGACTTGGTGTTGAACTTATCGGACGCGGAATCAAATATAATGGATTCTGTGAGTATTACTTTACACTACGTTAGACTCTTGTTAAAGGTTGCAATTCTGTACTACCCCTCCTTTCACTTTGTGTCTTCCTCAAAATTCATTTGGCCGCTATCCATGTGTATTTATACTGGTAACATTCCCAAGGTCTGTCTCTTTGAGATAAAACATAGAGATCATATCTGCGAACTAGTACGTAAACAAACCAAAATATCTATGAATATTTTATATCTCCCCAAAAGAGGCGTGGTTTGTGAAACAACTGTATTTAAAAAGTGCAACCTAAAATACTTAACTTTTCCAGGAAATGACATTATTTCTATTGAATTGAATATGACAAACTTGTATGAACATTTCTAGTTATTGAAATAAAGCTACTAAAGTTCACAGGCAGTGTTAATAAAAACAAGTAATTTCAAATGCAATTTACATTTTTTATTCTAAATTGTGCCCAAGTTACCAAAGAACAGATATGTTTTAGTGTCAAATATTGAATGAAAATGAAAATAATGAACCAAATGAAAAAAGAAATCTGTAAAGTGTTAGTTATTTTCATTGTATAATTGCAAAGTTTTATCTGTTTTTCTTGTGTGTTGTTTTAAATCTAGGAAAGTCTGAGCTGCCCTTAATATTTACATGCAAGCATTTATAATTATATGGTTTTTTTTGCAGACTATGGACGTCTTTGCAGTGCGACACAACTGTACGGTGCACTAAATTCCTGTTATGAAGATTATGGTGATATAAGCAATTGTTTCCCTGGTCTGATTAAACAAGGATTGATTGGTAGACGCCATATTTACCATAAATATGGCCATGGATTTGGCTTAGGTGTCACCTTTGTAAAAAGGGGCATTGTTTATGGAAGATCATGTGAGTACAAATTTTTGAAATTGAATTGTGTTTATCGAATGAGCAAATCTGAAAACGAAATCTGATAATGCTTTATCGTTTTACATGTCTCGATCTTGTACATATATGTTAGGAGTTTACTAAATTTAAACATTTAAATACATACATTTCAATTGAAAATAATTGTAACCACAATTTATTAGAAATTTGACACGAAATGAAACTTAAAACATGCACACAGTATCGTTAGACGAGAGAAAAGCAAATCATCCATTCATATTACATTACATCGGTTTCAATATTTAAAAGCTTTCATTGCCTATAGACTAACTGTCTGCAGCAATATAAAAATTACAATGTTTTATATCGAATTAAATGCAAATCATGCAGATCGTAATAAAACATTTTGAATTGTCTCAAGTCAGTTGGACTGAGAACTCTCTGAATTGTAAATTTTATACACTGTAATTTGTTAAATTTATTGTTTCGCTCGTTAGCAGCCTTTTATATAACTCTTGATAAAGATGGAAGTTTCAAGCATTTACAAATTGTTGTATCTCTATTTAGGTTAACCAACTGGAATACGTTTTGATAATTGTTGAAAGTCGTACGGTAACATATAGTTAACAGCATCGTCCTTTGGGCTCTGGTGGATAATTGTCTCATTGACAATCATTCCACATCTCATTATTTTTATATGAACTTTTTTTTTCAGTTTACAAATATGGGTGCCGTCGATCAAAGTTCATTCGTTATATGACTTCCTGCTACAATAAGTTCCATCATGCAAGCACGTGTGTGTCAGTGTTGAGAAAACGACATCTAATTGCAACACCTCATTCATATCATGGTCACATACATCTTGCCGGGTACACACGTTTCCGCAGATTTGCGATTCACGGTGGGAGATTCAGATACGGAGGAAGATGTAAGTAATGTATACATAAATGAACACCAAACAAGAATTAACAATTATCATACACAAAACAACAAACAAAATAAACATTATATAAGGAATTGATTTTGATGATTAGTTATAAACACTTACTTAACCATTTCAAACAAATGTGGTGTACACATACGAATGTTGCATTATATATTTACTGTTTATATCACATTTATTCTTAAATGTGGTTTTTGTATTTTATCTATATGAAAAGAAATAAAATGCCTTTTTTTCAATTATTCAAAAGAAAAGTGCTTGAACATTTTACTGTATCTTATGGCTATTCGATAAAAAATATTAATGGGTGAACATTTGAGTACTAGATAAATGTTCAACCATGTATTAATGTGCCTGTGCCTCATTTATACAAACATTGATTTTGGTATCTTCATAATTTTTGTCTATGGGAACTTTTGCGTTAATTTCAAAAGATATTTTCGCGCCTTTGTAAAATTGAGTGAGTTTTTGTCTATTCTCTAACCAATTTTAGACTAGAACTCATTATAAGGAGCAGGCGATCTTCAGACCTTAAAACCCTTTCATAACTTCTCGCTGAGAAGTTTGGTTGATTGACACAGAAAACCCTCCCTGTGCCTTTTATGTTGTTTTAATTTTACTTTCTTTCTAGTGTTCTGTTCTGTTCTGTTTTGTTTTGTTTGTCTGTTACTTTGTCTTTTATTGCCAGCTGTCCTCTTTCTGCTAATTGGTTTGGTTTTTTTTGCACTCTTGGTATCTCTTACTGTTTATGTTTTTATTTGAAACAGATTACAAACTGAGCTGCAGTAAGAAACGTTTCTACAGTTATTGGAACAGATGTTATGGTCGATACCATAGTGTTGGTAGATGCTTTGGATACCTAAAAAAGAAAAATCTGTTTTCATATTATAATGGTAATTATGTATGCATGTACCACATTTAATTGTGTCAAACCTAAATAATGGTTTTACGTTTTTCAAGGTTGCACTTAGGTGAACCTGGCTATGCTTTTGAGATATCTTTATGTCATAATGCTCCTTAATTATTTATACATCTTTGGCTTTCGAATAATGATTGTTTATATATGTTTTCATTAAAATAGTTATTATTTTTCAAAACTCGTGGAAAACGATTGATTGGTTGTTGGTTGCTTACAAATGAATATCAAAGCCGTGATTGCCTAGAAATGAAAAAAAATATTTCTATCATGTAAAAAATCAGTTCTTTTTTTTAAAGAATTTAATGTATTGACAAAGTATGTATTCGTATTAAGATTTCATATATTTTATGTGAAAATTTGAATAAGTATGTTTATCAAGTAAGTCATTTAAGTCATTCCGTTTAAGTAACTATTTTAAATTTTCTGTTTACATATACTTAACAGGTTACTCAAGTGGTGTGGTTTATAATACATACGGACCTGGTTACAGCAATGGAATTACATTTGACTATGGTTATTACAAAAGTCATCATGGATTTACAATTAGAAATAATAAGTTTTCATATGGCGGAATTGGTAAGCGAATATAGAAATGCTAACAGGTTTATATTTGAGTAAAACTAATAACGCAGGAAGATTTTAAATAAGTAAATGCACTAGTTGTCTAAATACATAACACTGAACAGCTGGTACTGAATGTTTTTGACATTCTCATTCAATTTGGATTTGAATGCAATGGAAAAATAGTCTAAATGGTAATGTCTATGCATATATATTTCCGTTAAATGCCTATAAAAAAAATAGCATGCTGTTGATTATGTCAATAAGACTAGCTTTAAAAATTCAGTAACATCTTGATATGAAAATGACTTTAAATTACAGGATATCAACTTATGTGTGGAAGAAGTCGATTCTACAGACTATGGGGTGAATGCTATAACCAATACAATAGTGTAAGCAGCTGCTTTGGGCGACTGAGACGACAACATCTATTCTATAGATACGGTGGAGGTAGGTAGTATACTATGAAATTACAGTTTAAAGCAAGCGTATATACATTTTGTTTTGTGATTCAAGTCTGTTTTACGAATTCGTTGGAGTGAAAGGGGCATTAGCTACGAGGTATAACAAAATCAAAATAGGATATAATAATATTGTTCAATCATTAATGAAAGTGAAATAATGAACTAATAATTTGCTGTTAGCAGTCAATTTGGTTCAATATTTACCAAATAAGCTAAGAAACATCGCTGATGAATTATTTACTTGCAAGTGATAATTCTATTTCATTGAATCCGTATTCATGTGACCTTCAATTTAACCCTTTTGATGGAGATTGATTACACATGTATTCAGCTATCAAAAAAAAAGAATGTCAACATTGAAAGTGAAACAAGGGTTAACCATTTGGTTGACTGATTCGATCACAAACAATAATTTTTATACAGGAAAAAAACGATGATAAATATACTTTTTATTCTACAATAAGAATTAAAACAGATCTAGAAAAGTCCATACGTTGCTTTGGAAAACTAAGGAAAAGGCACTTTTTAATGTATACTTGGACGGTAAAATACATTATATTAGCATATCATAAAAATATTATATTTACTACATTTGACATTCACATAATCAACTAACAGATGTGTCATTTCGGGGCCTTTTGTATGTTTGCTCATTGTTGAAGACTGTACGGTGATCTATAGCTGTTAACTTCTATGTCCTTTGGTCTCTGGTGGAGAGTTGTCTCATTGGCAATTATTTCGTATTTTCTCATTTTCATATTAACAGAGTTGATTAATCATTCGCCAACATGTAGTGTAAACTTTTATCTTGGAATACTCTGATTTCATGTTTAATTCTGTTTAAATATTTTTGACATTTACCTCCCTCGTCGTATCGACTGTAAAACATAAAAGGTGCTGAGGTGCCTTGTTAAATATACCTGTCGCTGCCAATAACTAAACCTGAACAACATGGACTGTAAAAGTTCATTGTAGTATCATATTACCAGCTGGCTGTTAAATCATTCTCCTCCACGTGTTGCATAATGAACAAACAAAAATAACAAAATAGCAGAACATTATACAGAACCGTTCTTGCAGTATGCTTTAAAGTTGGGTTCATTTTATAATAAAAGGTTCAGGTGCATATATATCTTTTCTCTGAAGTTTTGATACACATTGTGTATTGACGTTCTGTGATTATATGTAAGTTGTTAGGAATTGAACTGATTTCTTATCAAATCCACTTTTTGAAAATTTTTACACAAACATTGCTAGATCTTAACAAAAAAAAAACAAAAACAAAAAAAAACAGAAGAACACAAATTTAGTATTATCTGAAAAAAAAATCCTGTAACATTGTGTCTAATTGGCAATCATACCACATCTCCTTATTTTTATATTGCTTTCCCAAAAACTGAAATGTTTAGATTATAATTATTTTGTTTTTACAATTAGGATATGATGGAGAGGATGGTTACGTAGCAGTAGTCAAAGAAAAAGTGTACTAATGTTAGTATTATGTTCAATAATATATTACACACAGTGCCAAATATAAGTAATATATATTTATACAATTCAGTGTCGTTTTGTATTCTTTAAAAATAATATAAAACACACTTCCCTAAGGTATTATAGATAACTAGAAAAAAAAATGGCCTTTAAAATCACCGACTTATATGCACCCAACACGGCAGAAATGCTTTAATTTGATCGTATTAAAACTCAAAAGGGACGAAACCCTGTATATTCTTATAAATCAATTTCTAAATTTCCACTTTTCTGTATGTTTCAGACTATACTAAAAGATTAAATGTTTTGCAATTATAGATCACAAATGTAAATACTGCTAATCAACAAGAAAAGGTATATCAGAGAAGATTTGTGTCAATCAATATTATATCTTTATTTTATATCTTAAAAATCTATAGAAAAAGTATATATGTATATTAGAGATAAATATATGATTGGGTAATATGCATGAATAATGAAGTATTTGTTCTGCAAACGTGATACAAGAAAATGATATAGGATAACACCCAACACCATCATACACAAATAAAGGGACAGAACTGTACAGAGTGTACGTATAAAATGTCTCTATTACTAGTAACTTGTTAGAAGTTGTATTCGCTTTAGAAGTAAAATATGAACTGTTTTCTTTGCCATATTTTTATTTTCTTTGCCATATTTTTATTATTTTCGGACTGTTTCTTTGATTGATATTCTTTTTTTTTTTCATTGTAGGAATACCTCTATACTGTATATGGACTTATGAAATGAAATAAAAACATTTTACTATTAAGTTTGGTTGTTTTTATGCAATTTAAGACTATGCAATAAACTCAATACCTATAACATTTAAAACATGAATCACTGCAAAAAACTTGAAGACGTAATCGAACAATTGAAAAATGACAATCATATTACTGACATTACACAATTATTTGACAAAGCTTGAAACTTAATTTAGATTTACCATGTTTCAATAGTAATTTAAAGTGAATATTTTACTATGAATTGAAGTTAAGTCAAAAAAAGTCACGAGGCTAATAGTTTAATACCTTATTGATTTCGTCTAATAACCGATTTTATTCAACTGTCCCTAATGAGTCTGATAAGCAGATAAGATGGAATACCCAAATGAAACCAGAGGATTTTGTGGTAAACAAGTATAAGTCTCTGTATGACCTTCAAAATGAGCAAACCCACACCGTATAGCCAGCAATAAAAGGTTAAAAAATCAAACATACAAACCAACGGCCTAATTTATGATAAACAATAAACGAAGAACAAAGATTTCTGAAATCAATCAACGACAGCCTCCCGACTAAGACTGGGCACATAAGTAATGTGACGGGCTAAAAATGTTTGTGAGCGCTCATTTGTCTCCTTACCACGGACATTGGTATAAATGCACAACATAAAAAAAATAGTGTAAAACTCAGTTAGAACGGGAATGATTCCAAATATCGACGCGATGTTAAAAAAGCAACGAATGAAATGAAAACATTCCTTTCTTACAATACTCACAGTAACTGAAAGCAAGTCAATTACACCTTAACGATTAGATAGATTTGAATATGAAAACAGGGAATATGTCAAAAAGACAACAACCCGACACAAGAGCAGAAAACATTCCAAGGCTACCAATGGGTCTTCAACGCAGCTAAAAAAATCCCACACCCGGAGGCGGGCTTCAGCTGACCCCTAAACCAAAATATATACTAGTTCAGTGGAATGGACGCCACACTTAACTCCGAAACATAATTATTAACCAAAATTAAAAAACTCACAAGACTAATAAAGGCTAGAGGTTCATGAATTGGGATAGGCGCAAAATGACAATGATCAACATAAATTAACAAAGAACTACTAGCAGCTACTAACATGCAAGTTCTAAAACTAAATTAAACTGATCGAAAGATTATGTCGCCATCATATGAAAATCAAGCACAATGCAGCTTCGAAAACCAGTACACAGTTGGAACATTCATTATTACGTTGTGCTTGTAAAGAGTTAGCTAAAAGTTATGTTTGCTAGGGATGTCATTTTCCAAAAACTGAGTCAATTGGGATGTTGATGAATTCGTGATTTCCTTTTGCAGAACCTCAATATAAAATATACCTCAAACAATAATGATATTATTGGCAGTCTTATCAGCCGGGACAATTCCTTCTTTTATGTTTAATCCACCATTTTCTACATAAGGAAATGCCTGTACCAATTCAGGAATATGACAGTTGTTTTCTACTCGTTTGATGTATTTGAGCTTTTGATTTTGCCATTTGCTAAGGAACTTTCCGTTTCGAATTTTCCTTGGAGTTCGGTATTTTTTGTTGTTTTACCTTTTAGCTTATGTTTGATACGAGAAATAAGGCTATAATGGTTGTTGTAAGAGATCACTGATATGTTCTACGTCACCAAAATCACAATCAGTACACATTCAAAATATTTGTGGAAAGACGTCATTAATAATCTGAGAAAAGCATGCCCTTGTGCAATTCCAAAATATTATTACAGGGTATATGACGATGAGTGTTTATAACTGTATAAAAATGCAAATTTAGTTATATTTCAATTAACTGAAAACGAAATCAATGTGAGTACCAATAAAGACAATGTTCAAATGCTGAATTGATAACCTTTAAGAATAGGTTTATTCAAAACATCAATAAGTTAACATGGGTCTTCCTAAATAACGGATTTAAATCAAGAAACAACATCGGTCACCGTATAAATAAGGATGTCATATTCCTTTTGTTACTTGAATTTTACAGCCAAACGTCTTAACCAAATATTTGTATTTATGAAAGATTTTATAAGAAGTTTTAAGTAGTTTGTTGAAAAGGAATCTCTGACTTAGATATTTACCAGTTATAAATAGATAACGTAAATCTCCACTACAGCCTCGGCCTTTAGAAGCGAGTTGAGAATTATAACATCTTCAGAAGGGGTCAAAAGAACAACAACAGTCCATACAATGAAAATAAAAGTGGGAAGAGGTAATATCAAAATCTAGTAGTCTTTATCAAGCTGTCTCATTAAGAAATAAATATAATTCTACAATGAAGATCTAGACTGCAAAAATTGTGAAAATTATCGTAGAGAAATAAACTATCAAAGGTACTAAGCACATAATTCTGTACGTCCTAATCAAAATAGTTTGCAGACCAAATCGAGTACAAAACTGAAAAGCATTAACACAGAAAATTCGGAAACTATGTGCTTAATACGGTTGAGGCAATCGATGCATAGGGATAAAAAATCTAAATGTTTCGAATAGTTAAATTCTGTAGCTTCGTAAAGGACAAGGGGCGATAAGGACAATTTTTGGCCCCACCGCCAAATTTCATTTAATTTGTCATGTTGTAACTCTATACTACAGACCTTCTGAATATTTTTGAGTCTATCTTGTATATTATGTTGCCTAGCAACCAGTTTAATGGTGGAGATAAACTCATTAAATATGCTAAATAAACACCTTAAATCTATTTATATTTGAAATCAAACCTGTTTAACATGCAGTGAATTTTACATTTATACCATGTTAAAATGTAGTACAATCTAATGCACGTTTCTTGGCAAAATCATTGTATTTCTTCCTAGCAACAAATTTTTGCCCATAGCAACGGCAAATATTATTTCTATTTTACAAGATTTAACTTTAATTTGATATGTTGCAACAAAATGATTATTCAAGATGCACATTGTAAAAAGTAACAAACTCCAAAGAAAATGTCAAGGATAAAGATCAATGCTGAAATATCAAGTAACAAAACTACAGACAAACAATAGTAGTTCTTCATTGAGAACGTGGTAACGAAATGCACTTCTAGAGTCCATCTGTAGAGTAAAAAAATGTACCCTTACTGTGAAATTGCTGGTTATTACATTTTTCATGAATAAATATGTGTACACCTTATATTTTCCTTTAATTATACCGGGTATTGATGATATAAACATGTCTCAAGTGCTGGGTGGAGTCCTTTTAAATTTTTAATCCCCACACGTTCGCCCCCTATAATGTAATGCCGGCTTCCCCCCTTTTTATAGTAAACCTATGTCTGTATAGTTTCTTGAAATTATTGAAGATAAACGATAGATGTTAGTGAGATGTCTAATGTTGAAAATAATATAAGACTTGTAATTTGTTATTTTGGCTGTTGTTTCAAGGAGACGACAGATTTGTGTATGTTAGTATGTAAGGAAGTTTTATTTCACGTACTGATTTCATATTTTCGCGGTAGTTACCTTATTAGAATATAAACTCAAATAAAACTCTTCTAATGATCTACTAATGTATTTAAAGTCAAAACCCATCTTTATTGATGAAGATAAATCCATGTTTACAAACAATATCAAAATTACGGGAATTTCCTTTGTGTGATCCATGGTTGCCGATTGGTAAACAATATGTAACAAGCTCTGCCATTGGTCAGTCGAAAGTATAAAAGCAAAAGCAACAACAGAACCGACGGATTGTTGGGTTGGCAAAGTTGGAAAGTAACAAATTTGAATAGAAGCTAAAATGTGTCTGATAATCCCAACCAAGCGTTGAAAGTTAACTTTGTTTTTAAATACGATTGTCGGTGCCGGTGACGGTGCTAAATACGGTTGTGGGTGACGATGACGGTGCTAAATACGGTTGTGGGTGACGGTGCTAAATACGGCTGTCGGTACCGGTGACGGTGACTGTGCCGGTGACGGTGCTATTGAAGTGATATTGAAGGTGCTCATTAAGTGTTCTGTTGGCGGTTCCGACATGATTAATATGTCATTTAATTTGTTATACTAAGTTGTTGTCTTCTATAATGTAGTAGGGTGTAATATCCTTAAATTGAGATTATAGAAAGATGCTAAATAAGTGACAACCTTGTTACTTGACTGTTGAATTACAGACTAGTTTTGTTTGTATATGTAAGACCAACCATTACCGGGGACCTGGTCAGACCAGTGAGAGAGCTGGCAAGACCCATTCTCTCCGTCGAGGATTATTTTTTATATTAATAAAATATGAAACTTCTTTTATTCAGATAGTTTATTTCACAACTGAGAATATATATATAAACACAAGTATACGATTTCCCTTTCTGTAACGTGTTTTGGTCCGACGGTAAACAGTGGACGTCGAACCTTACACTTTATAGATCATTTTACTCTCTTTTTCTTTTTGACCCTGTGTTCTCTGGTGGCCGATTCTAGCACCAGGGAGGCAGCGTTTCAATATTTTTATTCAAATACAGGTTGAATTAATAAATCTACATTTGTATTTTCAGATGTATATATCAACATGTGATCAAAATATTTATATTTTCATGAATAAAACTTTCGTGAAGTTTTTGGATGAAATAATTGTTTGAGTGATTAGATGATTAATTATTAAATGTCTGTTATTTATGATAACTTTTAATTGTATTAAAAAAGCTTATTTGGTATTATTGTAAAGTGTTTGAAAACCATGTTAGATGTTATAACTAGTGGTGTAAAGTGAAATACAAGTAGTTAGCTTGGTAGGTGTAAAAGAAAATAAAGATTTTGAATAGAAAACATGAAAGTTAATTGTTTTTAACAGCTTGACCCCTTATTCTCGTGTGTATTTGAACAAGTATGATATACAAAAATGCCAAACATGGTAAAGGGTCTGGATGTTGGTCCTTCATATCTGATTCTTTAAATTTGTCTCCATTCTTTGTATATTTTATTTGTTTTATTCGTTGTTGTCATTGTGATTAGTTTGATTATCTTTTACTAGTCTTAGAGACGTATGACTTGGCCTTTGATCATCATAACAATATTCATTA